CCCTGATACTACAGACCATTTTCTTTGTGTAAGCCCAAGCAGAATTGTGACTGTCCTTGACCCAGGTCACAGGGCTACCCTCCTGCTAGTAATGCTTGGATGAGCGCTTAGGCCTGGGCTCCCCATTTGGCACAGAAAGGCACCTGCCTTTGCAGTTCATAGGGTTCAGTTTTTTTCTTTTTTCTGTATGCTGGTGCTAAAACTCTTGGTAAAATGTGTTCTTATCTGTATTATCCACAGTCTTTTAGTTCAAATTTGGAACAGCTCATGCTATATCTTTGGATATACCACTATTTTAGACTGTAATTGGGTACAATTTCCCTAAATTCTACATGTCACCTTCAAGGCTTCAGTTGGTTTCAAAGAAGTTTTTAATTATAAAATTTGGTCCCTATACCCTAGGCCTAACATGTTGGAATTAACCTTTTTCTTTGGGGAAAAAAATGTTCCCTAAATAGTGTTTCCTCAACAGGCTCATGAGAGAGCCTTTTCACAATAGGTGATATCATGACCTTCATCACAACAGGTCAAGGAATGGGACAGGAAATGCTGCTAATCACTCTTGGCTGTTAGTGGGATGGAAATATAAGAAATGGCTACATTACTTAAAAAAAGACCGTTCTGCACAGTTTACCCAAGAGTGGAAGGTCAGGCCTGGGCAATAAGGATTAGGTGCAGCTTCCCCAACAGCTGGAGAGAGGCCTCCCCTCACCCAACCCTCTTGTGGCCCTTCTTCATTTCTAGACTAAGGAGAGTCGAGTACACAAGGCAGCCCTAGTGGCTTCCCGATTCGAGAATGTTCCACATGTAACCCACATGCTGGGGCAGTGACCCCACCAAGCCCACCTGGGTGTACAGCACAGGTGGGCCACTGCACTCGGCCAGGCCCCTTGCCTTGGTAGTCTGTAGATATGGTACTATCTGCAAGGCTGGAAATCCAAGCTGCCTGGGACTCACTCATTCTAAGGTGGTCTCCCTGTTTCTTTATAAATCCGGTTTAATCGCAGAAAATCTACACTTTTGGCACAGCATATTTGTGGGACAGATCTTGACCAGACATGAACTGAGCCACAATGTTAAAATGCCTTGTTTGTATCCAGCCACCCCACCACAGCCAACACCAAATACCTTTGGGTCATCAGCCTCAGGTTTTTCAGTCTCTGAATCGTCATCTTCCTAAAAGACAAAGAATTTTGAGGATTAAGCTTAAAGGAGTGGGCTTGAGGGTTCTCACAGGCACAACTAGGGGTTGGAGCAAATTTGCCCAACCTGGGTCATCCCACCAAGAACCCCACCCCTACCATATGACCCAGAACTGGATAAAGAGAAGGAGAAAGGAGGTGTTCTGGGGGGAAAAAAGAACATTAGCAGCTCAGGATAGTTACTCCAGCAGTGCCATCATCTACACTAATGAAAATGTCTGCAATTAAAAATCACACAAATAAAAACAGAGAAAGGCTGCAATGTGCTTCATAAAAGAATAAGACCAGACCCCACAGGATAAAACAGGCATAGTGTTTCCAATGAAATATCAATTATTTAAAATTAGGAATGTAATTTCCCTCTTTGCCTTTCATATATGCAAATACTCTGTCAAGAGTACTGTGGCCCACACACCACTACCCCAGCACTTCAACCCAGCAGCATTTACAGCAACACGAATGGCAGGAAGGCAGGCTTAACATGAGCAGGGCAACTGAACCGAAGGGCAATACCCTGCCTTTCCTCAGTCCCAAGTGAGTGGGCCCAGCCTCCATCCAAGCTCTCACAGAACCACCAGTGACCCATTTTATCTAGTCTTGTTCCTTATCCAAATGACCTGCCTGACACAAAGCACCATGTAGGTAAGGCATTCTCCAAAGCACTGGCCTCACACAAGCCAGCCCACTATTCCACTGAATGCTAACAAAGGTCAAAGATCAGCTACACTATTAGGTGGCTAGAGCCATGTCTGTTCCACTGTGCAGAACCCCAAAGCACAGGAGCCTTTAACTTAACAGCCAAGGAAAAATTAAGTTTCACTTGAATTTACTCTTTCTAATTGAGCTACACTTTAATCCAAACATTAAATAGCATCTGAGAGACTTGAACGAACTATCATGATGGCTTTGAGATTCAACTGTCATGTAAGGTGCCAGTGAGTCAAAAGTTTAAGACAATCTCCACAATCTCCTTAAAATGAAACCAATCATGCCAAATAGGCAGAGATGTAGCTCACGCAAATACAATCACATTTCAGAATGTCTGTATTGGGACTTGATCAGAGGATTCTACTAAAATATGAAAATTAAAGCTTAAGTATGATGGGAATTCTAAGCAAGGCAAATGTGGAACACTTCATAAACACACATTATACAAATTTATAGAAGAAAATAGTTACAGATGTTAAGCCAGTATGTGTGCACTTAAGAAAGGAAAAAAACTTGCAAAACTTTTCTTAACAATTTCAGTCAATTCTGAATGATCAGCATTAATGGTGGAGCTGAGGGCATGAGAATATCTTCTACAAGGGAATCAGATACAAAATATATTTTTGTTTAACATGGAAAGCATTTTTAATGCTAACATTTAAATATCAATGCACAACAAATTTTAAAACAAATAATAAAAAACACTGAGTGTTTCAATTAAAGCTGTTGCTAAATAGCCAGATTCTATATCCAGATTCAACTTTGTATGTGTTTGTCCTAAACACCAGCTTGAATCCTTGTTTTTTCTCCAAACTTTTAAATTGTGGCTCATGACACTCAGGTGATAGTGTAACTAAAGTCTTTCTGGTTAAAACACAAGTTCTCTTCTCTTTGTTGCCAGCACACATCAAACTTCAGGCAAGATTTGTGCTCAAGAACCAAACGCCAAGTTAAATGTCAAGAAGAAGTTAAGAAGGATCAAACCATGAATAAAAACTAAAATAATTATCCTTCCTCATCTTTTAAATAAAATTAAAGATTTGCATGAGCCCCAACAAAGACTAAAAATAATATAACTGATTGCAGATATAAATGATACACCAACTAGGATGAATGTGCTGTTACAAATGGAATAAATTATCTTAGCAGGGAAAACCAACATTAGACACCAATATTTGGGTTAAATAAAATAATCCACTATCTCCCCCCTAAACTTCAATGTAAAAGTTAATACAAAATGGTCCGGGTGAAAACAAATACTATTTTCAAACAGAACTACTAATATTCAACCCAGTTCTCAACTGATACCAAACAAAAAAAGTAGGGGTGAAGTGGGGAGAAGAAATAAAGTTAGGCATGAAATGGAACACTGTGGGTCAGTTCAGAAGGTTTTCAACAAAAGAAATGGTGCTTTGGGCAGCTCTGAATTTGGGAGCAGATTTACTTACTGACTGTTTGCTATTATCATCCTCCTCTTCTTCATAACCATCTTCATCACCCCCAAGGCGAGAGAAGTCATCCTCTCCATAAGCTTCAGATACCAATCCACCTTTCTCCTCTGAAAACAAATGGGAGAATGAATGAATGAATGGGGGACAAAAATGAAAGAAAACCTTTCAGTGATTTGAGTGGCCATAGCTTTGGGAAACCTAAATCTCATGTAAGTGACCATGGGCCCAGATTCTGCCTTTGGGAAGACCACAACTTAGTGAATGAATCGTTAAAAGGACAGGTAGGAAAACCAAGTGCTAAATTCTTTTTCTAATACTTCCAACCCACCTATTATTCCATTCAAAGTCTTCCCTTCTCTGAACCATTAGAGCACACTGTTTGAAAACCTTTTTGGATATGCACCTTGTATTACAAGCACCAGTGAACTTGTCTTCTCATACAAGACAAGGACTCTGTTATCCTCATTTCTGTGTGCCCTCCACTAGGAACAGGACTTTGGGGCATTGAGGGGTTCCCAACCACACCTACTTGAGAAGCAAAATCTTTTTCTACATTTAAAACAAAACAAACAAACAAAGAAAACCCCCAAAACACTACAAATTACTGGAAGGCCACGAGAGAACTTCCTGACACGAAGAGACCACACAAAACCAAGAGTAGCTAATCTAATCCAACCTCCATCACTTTCCAGATAAGGAAACCGAGGCCCAGATACCTTAGGTAACTTGCAGCCAAAGAAATCAGTTTCCATTTTTAACATTGTGATGTTTCAACCTGCAGCAGGGCAACAAAATCACTGATGGGCTTTAACAGCTTACAAAGTAACAGAATCACGGAGGAGCCTTAAAAAGCTCACAAAAACGCCCAGACCTACACCAGATCTACAATTTGGTCTCTCTTGAAGTGGAGACCATATATATGTATTCTTTTCTTCTTTTTTTCATAGCTCCAAGATGCGTTCAGGGCACATTCCTAACTAAAAGTTATTAACTAAAGATGCAACCTTTATCACCCTTCACATACGTTTTCTCTTCGCTCTCCCCAACAAACAACGTGCCTGGAGAAAACAGGTAGTGGTACAATAGAACCTCGGATCCTCTCCACCCTTCTTCATCCATCCCTCTTCCCAAGACGGAGAAAACTTTTAGGAAGTTTCGGCATAATTATAGAATCAACAGAAGACGGTCCATTTTTACGATAGAGCGTTTCTAGTCTGACCCACTGAGGACCCCGATGGGGGTCCGGGGTCCTATACTTGGGCACAATGGCCCTTTCTTTCCCTCCCGCTCTGCCAGGGAGCAGCATTCCGGGCAGACACTTGATTCTCCCCTTCCCTCTCCCTACTCGGGCCTCACCAGTCGTGCTGCCCGCCGTTTCGACTCCTGCGTCGCCGTCGGATTCGGGCTCTGAATCTTCCGCGTAAACTGCCAGAGACGACAAAACATTCTTCTTCCCCGCCATCTTACTCCCACAGCCTCACTCCTTAGTGACTCCAAACACCCGGCTTCCGTGCGAAAAGGCTACTTCTTCCGTATCCCAGGAGACCCCGCGCCCGTTCCAGTTCGAGAACCAATCAAGACGACAATTTCTGCTCCTGGTCCCGCCCCTAGTACCAGGGCTTGTACACGTCATCGCTGCGCGACGGATTGTGTGGGTTTACGTGACTGGATTTCCAGCCCTTGTCTTCTCAAGAGTTGGGGTTGGCGTATGGAGGTCATCTAGTAGTTCCCCAGCCGGCAGGCAGCAGCGGTCCGGGAAGAGCCCTTCGTTCCTGGGCGAACCAAGGACGGCTTTGATATCTTAGGGTGAAGAGAAGGAGGCTTCGGCTGGGGAAAGGAGGCAAGGGAAGAACTCTCCTCCGGGAGGTGGGACGAAGGGATCAGGGTCCTGGGGGGAAGAATGGGCGTGATGGCTAAGCTTCTAGGAGCAGAAAGTGGATCTTAGAACAACAATTCCATTTTCTCCAAAATATCCCGAAGGCATTTATATTTCTTCCAGTGGTCTGATTTCTGGCTCCGTGCTATACTTTGGCCTCAGATAGTTAAGTGTTTGTATTTTCACGGAGCATCAAAGTGGAGATGTTAATTACCCCGGAGTGTATTGCTTGGCACTATTCACCTGCAGCTATATAACTTGAAAATAGTATATTGCTTGAGTGTATAAAACAAGTTTATACTTACAGAGAAAAATAAGCATTATTTTAAAAGCAGAACAGAGGGTTGTCACAAACATGATCTTCACCTTTGCCTTAACTTTTCGCCACTGTCTGTCGCCAAAATGAGCACTCACCCTTCTCCTTTTGACCCTGAACGTCGAGTCCGGAGCATGTTGAAGAAGGTCTTTGGGTTTGACTCTTTTAAGACGCCTCTACAGGAGAGTGCAACTATGGCTGTGGTGAGAGGTAACATTGCCACACTACCTGCATTTACATTCATGCTGGCTGTACTGTAGCACTGCCACAGAACAGCCTCCTTCTGATGCTTCCTATCTTCCCACCGTTGGTCCATAATTGGTTTTGGAAATCTTGTAGACTTGTTACCCATAATTTGCAGTTTTATTGGCAGAATCACCCAGCTTTTCTGCTTCTTATATTTCATAGCCAGAGCTACATGACAGTTCATGGATTCCTAGTTTTGTTCATTTGTGTGCAAGCAGTAGTGGGGATAGCAGGAATAGCCCAACCTAATCACTGACCTTCCAGTCGCTTTGTTAAAGACTGAGTGGCCTGGGTCCTAATAAGGAAAAAAGGAGTATTAAGATTATAAACTTGAGATATGCTGACAAATGGAGGTGTCAAGAGGGGAGCAGCAGTATATTATTAATTACAGTATAATTAATAACATTTATAAACAAAAGATATCTATGTGATGTCACTTCCAAGTCCACACAGATATGCCCACTCATCCAGGAGTATTCAACTTTCATGGCTCTTCAGTTCAGTCACCCATATCTCAGCAGACTCAGACTTTTTACCCTTGTAGTTGTTACTGCCATTGCCTGAAATGGTTTGTGCCCATTCCCAAATATCCCTGGATCTCTGCTCTTGTCATAGAAAGGATGGGGAGGGAATTAATATTATATTGAGATCCTCCCATGTGCCAGACACTCTTGTTAGGTGCTTCCTACATTCTCATTTCATTTTCAACAGCCTTAATGAAGGAAAAAGATAAAAGCAAGATGCAATGAGAGGTCATCTTATATTTTTGCAGGTAACAAGGATGTCTTTGTGTGCATGCCCACAGGGGCAGGAAAATCCCTCTGCTATCAGCTCCCTGCTCTGATGGCCAAAGGCATCACCATTGTAGTCTCTCCACTCATTGCTTTAATTCAGGTGAGGCTTAGGGGAATGAAGATGGTAGCCCAGAAAGCTTAGGGGGAGGTTTTTTTTTGTTTTTGTTTTTAATTAACATATCATTGATATACAATCTTAGGTTGGTTTCAAATATACAACACAGTGGTTTGACAGTTACCCATATTATTAAATCCTTACCCCCTCTAGTACAGTTACTATCTATCATTGACTATATTCTCCATGCTATACTACCATCTCTGTGACCAACTTACAGAGGGGGAGATTTAATAGCTGGAAATATTACTTCTCCTTTCTTCAGTCTTTTCTCTCTCATTTCTTTGACTGACCTATCTCCCTCTCTATATTGGGTTTCTGAATTGCACAGTTGTGGGGTTTTCCACTAAGGCCTGGCACTCTCGTGGTATGGATGAGTCTTCCAAGTTTTGAGGGCCTGAGCTCTCTCACCCTCGTTTGTCACTGTTGTCAGAGAAGTATGAGAAGGTATCTGTATACACACACATTCACTCTCAAATGTGCACACGTGCACTTTTTATAGGATAGAAGATGCAGATAGATAGCTAAGTTGATGGGGTAACTCCCTGGTATCCTGCTTTATTCTGGCAAGGATACAGCTATGAGAGGAAAAAAGAAAGATGAGAAACTGGTTAGGATGTTGTTAACATCTGCTCTGCACTTCTGACTGTATTTAAGGCCTGCAGACGGGCTGATACAATCAGAGAGAGGAAGTGTGGCTGTGTGGCTAAGAGCCGACCACCATGAAGAAAGAGAAAGACCGTGAACAATAGCACTGGGTCTCAGGCTCGGTGCTGAATGCTTTATGTGCATTAAGTTTCACCTTTGAGGCGCAAAATTTCCTTTAATTCTTAAAATAATCCTATTAGGTAAATACTATTTTTGCAGTAGGGAGAGAGAGAAAGAGGGAGAAAACCAAGTCTCATAGGTTAAGAGCCAGCCAAACAGCATGTGGCAATTAAGTGAGCCAGGAGTAAATCCAGGTCCGTCTGGCTCCAAGGTCTGTCCTCTCAACCACTTCGCCTTCTGTGCTTCTTATATGCAAGAGAAGACACAGTGGAGGGTGGGAGGAAGATGTTACGCCTGGAAGCTTCTCCAGGGAGCCACAGTGACATTTACCCCTGAGTCCTGTGGGCCAATTGTACTCCCCTCTGTGACCTCTGCCCCTCCGCCCTCAGGACCAAGTGGACCACTTGCTGGCCCTGAAGGTACAAGTGAGTTCCCTGAACTCGAAGCTCTCAGTACAGGAGAAGAAGGACCTGCTCTCTGACCTGGAGCAAGAAAAGCCCCGGACCAAACTTCTGTACATCACACCAGAAATGGCAGCTTCAGCTTCCTTCCAGCCCACCTTGAACTCCCTGGTGTCCCGCCACCTGCTCTCCTACCTGGTGGTAGATGAAGCTCATTGTGTTTCCCAGTGGGGGCACGACTTCCGGCCTGATTACTTGCGTCTGGGTACCCTGCGCTCCCGCCTGGCACATGCCCCGTGTGTGGCTCTGACCGCCACAGCCACCTTGCAGGTCCAGGAGGATGTGTTCGCTGCCCTGCACCTAAAGCAGCCAGTTGCCACCTTTAAGACTCCCTGCTTCAGGGCCAACCTCTTCTATGATGTGCAGTTCAAGGAACTTCTTTCTGATCCCTTTGGGGACCTGAGCGACTTCTGCCGTAAGGCCCTTGGACAGAAGGCCGACAAAGGGGTGAGAGCACTGAGGTGGAGGGGCGAGGATGCGTCTGGGGCGAGGGGTACGGGGTACTCTCTGAAGCAGAGACGGATAGCGGCTTTCTAAGACCTTTGCCTTTTCTAGCTTCCTTTGCCAGGCCTCGCCAAACCTTCTTTAAGTTTGTGCACAGTTGTCCCTTTGGTTTCCTGGCATTGTTCCATTTACTGAGGTTCCCTTGGGAGGTGAGCAGCTAGCTCCTCTGAGGGAGGCCTTTGCAGCCCTCTCCAAGGTGCGAGGAGAGGAGGCTGAAGAGTTGGTTAGGTTGAGGCTTTGAGCTGCACTGGCCCTGCTCTGTTAGAAAATGGCAGAGCCCTGCTGGGAGCCTGCCTCCGAGGAGACTGAGGCTGACTGGAGACAGAGCGCAGAGCTTCTTTTAAAGCAGGCTGCAGTGAAATGGCCGATGGCTCTGGCCTTCCCAGTGCTTACTTGTTGTGTCTCCGCATTCAGTTGTCTGGCTGCGGCATTGTCTACTGCAGGACCAGAGAGGCTTGTGAACAGCTGGCGATAGAGCTCAGTTACAGGGGGGTGAGCGCCAAGGCTTACCATGCAGGTAAGGGGTGTCCAGGCCGTGTGGTCCTCTTTACTCTCAGGGCCTCTTAGCGGGTCTTTTGGTCTTAAGGATCCTGGGTAACCAACATCTTTTTCCAGACATCCAGGGCAGAGCTAAAGTGATTCACATAAATCCACAAAGGGAAGTCCAGACACAAATGGGTCTAAAATGAGAATTGTGACTTCTGAATTCTTTTTCTTATCCTGTGTCTACCCAGCAGCAGGTGATTAGTTTTTATAGCCCAGATATTGGTGGTGTGGAAAGAGCACAGTCTTTGAAGGCCAATGACCTGGGTTGGAATCTGGGCACCAACATTTATTGAGTGCTGTGTGCCACGCATGGGCTAGGGGCTTTATGTTTAAGCTCCGGCTCAATGAGGTTAACTGCCTGGCCCAAGTTCATACAGCTGGTAAGTGATGGGTTCAGGGTATTTGCACAGGGCCCAGCACAGAATCAAACCCAAGGTAAATTTACCCAAGGGAAACGGGGTTTCCCTTTCCCAGCCTCCCTTCCTTTACAGGGCTGAAGGCTTCTGAAAGAACACTGGTGCAGAACGAGTGGATGGAGGAGAAGGTCCGTGTAATTGTTGCAACTGTTAGTTTTGGGATGGGAGTGGACAAAGCCAACGTCAGGTGAGCTCTGGTTCGTGCTGTATCTTCCCGGTGGGTGCCTGGTTCTGGAGGGCTGTCCAGTGCTCTGCCCGGAAGATGAGGTCCATATGCTCCTTCTAGGGCCAAAGGGGCAGGAGGCCCCAGGAGAGAGTCCCTAGTACAAAGTCCACACACTGCTCCCAGGTGATTGCACGGCACGGTTCTGCCATCCCCCAGGAGCGGGGGCAGCGCGCAGGCCTGCGGGCTCATCCACATCCATTAACACGGCCCATTTGATGGGCCCTGTGGTGGGTAGGGGACCCTGGTAACTATCTTAAATTGCTCCGCTTGGGCAGTGAAAGGCAGAGACCTTATTCCTGCCATTCCTTGTTACTGCTTACTGACAGTCTAGAAGAGACTGCACATCCCAGCCCCCCAGCCCCACAGTGGGGACTGTTGGGAAGTCTTTGACCTCTAGCCACACCTGGCCTTCCAGAGACATTTGGGGCTATAGCCTGAAGCCCTTTACGCTGATTAACACAACAGTGGACCACTTCTGCTCAGGTGGTCTTTCAAGATTCACAGTGGCTGTGAGGTGGTTAAGGGAGGAATTAGTCTGTGTGCTTGCATTTGAGAGAACACAGATTCTTGAATCAGAGTTTAGACCCTGGGCAGGCTGTGTCTTGTTAGGGGCCAACTTTGAAGTCGGGCAGCTCTAGGCTCAGATCCTAGCTCTGCTGTGCCCTTACTGTGTCATGCTGTACAAATTTACCTCTCTGGTTCTCAAGTTCATTGTCTATAAAATGGGGCTACCTCACATGATGGTGACTGTAAAATTAATGAGACAAATATGTCAACAGATTCATAGTAGGTATTTAATAAATGCCATCCCTTTTTCTCTTCATAAAGGACTGACTATTCAAGGCTGTGGGGCTTATAAGCGACCTAATCTTGTTTCTTTAAGTCCAGTATTTTTGGGGCCTGGGTCTCTGACTCAGTTTATTTTGGTTTCTCATGTGTGCTGGAATTACCCCCTTAACTGCTGTGACCTCTAAACTGGACGGCTCCAGGGTGGGGAGGCCTGCTGATGGCCTGCAGGCGTCCAAGCCTCCTTACTCTGGGACCTACCTGCCAGCCTCCCTGCCCCCAGTCACTGTGGAGGACCCTGCTCTGGGGGTACAGAACCATTCCTCCCCTTAACTGTTCTGCCACATCTCATGCTGTGTGTCCCTTTGGGTCCTACAGGTTTGTCGCCCACTGGAATATTGCCAAGTCTATGGCTGGGTACTACCAAGAGTCTGGCCGGGCGGGCAGGGATGGGGAGCCCTCCTGGTGCCGCCTCTACTACTCCAGAAATGACCGGGACCAAGTCAGCTTCCTGATCAGGAAGGAAGTTGCAAAACTCCAGGTAAGTTCTGGACAGTAAGAGACCTTTCTGTCCAAACCCACCACTCTTCAATTTCACGCAGCTTATTTATGCCCCCAGCAGGAGCTTCTGTGACCTAGAGGGGTGCTCCTGGGGCTAGACTGTAGAGCCAAGGAGGTGTGGTGTGGGGGTGCATAGGCAGCTTGCAATAAGCTAGGTTAGAAGTTTTTCTTTATATTTATCTTAGTACAGTCTTTCATGTGCATGTTATTTTATGTAGTCAGGATCAATCCTGCCTTGTCTTAATTAGCATTGTTGCATAAGTAGCTTACTATATTATAAATTTTTTTGTTTTTAACCTTTTTTTTCTTCCTTTTTAAAAGTTATACATTCTTTGTAGACAGCCTAGAGACAGACCCAAGTATATAAGGGGACTTGGTATACAATAGGTCACGTTATAAATCAACAGGAGGATTAACTGTTGAATACTTGGTACTGGAAAAAGGTCAAGGTAGATCCCTACCTCCCATACCTACACATATGAATTACAGGTGAGTCCACAACTTAAAAACTGTACAAGTGGGGGAGGTATTTTATGACCTCGAGGAAGAGAAGGGTATGTCAGGATTTTTAAAGGCAGAAACCATCAAGGAAGACATGATCTATTTGACTAAACTCACATGTAGCAAGAGACACCATTATCAAATGGAAAATGAGATACATAACTAATTGAATATATAAAGAATGGCTATAGATAAATAAGAGGTAAACAGCTGCATAACAAAAAGTATGCATTTCACAGAATAGTGAACCAGAATATATAATATAACTTATGAAGAGATGCTTAACCCAGTATCAGAACCCAGTATGTGGTAATGACACTGTAACCAAATCCGTATGACACAGTGATGTCAGGGAAACAGCCGAGAGGATTAGAAATAGGTCCCAGAATCTGTAAGAATCGAATATTTGATGAAGCTGATAGTTGGATTTAATGGAAAAAGTGGATTATGTAGTAGGTGGTCCTGACACAACAGCTCTCCCTCTGGAATAAAATTAATGTGCTGCATTTGACACCTTATATAAAAGACAGATTAAGGACCCACATGTAAAAAATAAACAATATTTTGCAAGAAAATTTAGTCCAGTGTGTAATTTAGGACTGGAGATACTTTTGTGTTGAAAATTAGAATTCCAGAAACTCTCTTTTAAAAAACTATTTGAATATGCAAAAGAACTCTTAAATTTCTACAAATCCTGAATCTGTGAATAAAAATTATGTCACAAAAGGTAGCATAAACAAAGCCAACAGGCATACGTATTTCATGCAGAAGGCAAACCAAAGGTTAAAGTTGAGACTCAATAGAGAGCTTTCACCAACTGATAAGAAAAAGCAAGGGATATGAAAAGAAAGCTCCCAGGAAAACTCATCCAAATGGTGCCTCCAAAGATGTTCAAGTTCAGGAGTGACCAGGTGGATGTAAGATAAAGTGAAATGATGTGGCACTCATGTGAAAGAACTCTACCACCTATTGCTGGGGGGCATGTGCAGAAAGAGTGCCTACATTTTGCCAAGAGAAAAATTAACTGTTACAATCTTTCAGGGAGAAGCCATCTAGCAATATCTATTAAACTCTAAGTATAGGTACCCTTTGACCCAGATGATTATTTCTGGGACCAAATCATCTGAAATAAAAGTGCCGGTGCATAAGCTCATGTGCTCGAGGGCCTGTGTGGCAGAATTGTTCATGAGGACAGAAAAATAGGAAACAAATTAAATATCTGGGAACGAGGAAGGAGGAAGTCCTATTACACACTCACCGTGGGGTCCTAGGCTGAGGGCCCAGCAAGTCTTCTATCTTGCTTTTTTAGAAAAATCATGTTTATTCCTATTTGACATTATAGATTTGCTTATACTCTGCTCTGTTGAAATGTTAAGTTCCATGGAAGCAGGAATCTTTTGCTCGCTGTGTATCTGTAAGGCCTGGAGACCAGTGCTAGGAACACAGTAGATGCTTAATAAGTATTGAATAATGAATGAAGGGGGAGAGAAGGTGAATGCAAGTAGGGGATAAAGGGGACTTGCCAGGATCAAGAGTGATAGTTTGCCCTGAATTAAGGGGCTTGGTTGACTTGTTGCTTTTGTCTGAAGTTTGAATTAGACAAGGAAAAGATTTTGGTAAGATGATGGGGTAGAAGGTATTTATTTAAAACTTACTAACAATGAATTACAAGAATTCACACTGAGTTCACAGATGAGATATTTGAGATAAAGAGAATATCTAGAAAGCTCCCAGAGAGGTGATGCGTGAAGGACTGGGAGCCAGAAGGGCATGTGCTTTCTCCTCTGAAATTCCAGAAGGGAGAAACAGCGAAACATTGCCTTCAAATTCTAAAGAACCCTTTTCCAGTCTAGAATTTCCTACTCAGCCAATCAGTAAAGTTTGAAAGTGGGATAAAGACATTTTCAGACACAAGTTTTCGAGAAACTTCCTCTTTAGAGAAGCTACTCTAGGAAGTCTCCATTGCAGCGGCAGTGAACCGAGAAAGGAAGATTGGCCTCAGCAGAGGGAATGTCCTAGGACGGTATAGAAGGGCAGCCTCAGACAGTGGCACATTAGGCCTAGAGGGCAGTGGTCCAGGTTGAACCAGGGGGACAGAAGGCTCCGGGAAGGAAGTTTCCAAAAATAAAAGTGGAACCTGCCATCTCTGGCCCCTTTTGAAATGAACATTTCGGGGTGAATTAGTGATACACTGAACTCTTAAGTAAATGAAAAAACAAGGCAGCTATAAATTTCAGGGGAACAAAGTTGTACAAGAAAGGCTATGTGATCATGGGAAATTTAAAAATGTAATCACAAGGTTTAGCTCTGAACAGTGTTGACAAGAGTCATACAATACGGAGATTAAGAAGAAATTGTGATAAAAGCACAGCAGGAGAATGGGGCTAGAGGAAGTAAGTGTATATGTGTGTGTTTGGGAGGTGGGCATGACTCACCTTCCAGAAGTAGAAAGTCAGTGCATAATGTCTCAGATCAGTGTCTGTTATATTTTCTTTACTTTCCAAAAGTATTGTTTGTGTTTTTTTTTATTTTACTTTTTTGAAAGGAAAATTTGACAAACATATGCAAAAAGGCAAATAACACATAATGGCAAGTCTCAGAAATAATCAGTGTTAATGTTTTGGTATATATCGGCCATACACACAGAGACATATATATGTTCTTTCAGATGTTACTGCACACACTTGAGCATATATGCGCTACTATTAAATTAGATCACTTCCCCAAATGGTAGTTGCTGGGCCCTTTGCATGGAACCACCTGAGCAGCTTTTTGAAAATATGAACTCCCGAAAGCTCCATTCAGAAACTCCAAAAAGTTTCATCGAACTCCAAAAAGTTCAATTCAGTAGTCTGAGTGGGCCCCAAGGTCATTCCTTTAAAGTTGCCCAAGTGATTCAGATGCATGGTCAGGTTTGGGGACACTGTTTTGTAAACTGCTTTCGTACTGTCACCTGATATATTTTCTCCCTCTTAGCTCTTGGGCTACAAGATACTCTAACTACCTAAGACTTTTGCTAACGGGTCATTTCTTGTCTCCAGGAAAAGAGAGGGAACAAAGCATCTGCTAAAGCAGCTGTGCTGGCCTTTGAGGCTCTGGTGACCTTCTGTGAAGAACTGGGGTGAGTGAGGTATTTTGTATGTGGAGCAAAGTGTTAGTGAGATCTTTTCCTCCCCCAGCACCCACTGAGTAGTAACCAGCGAAGGTAGGGCAGCTCTTGGACCACCAAGGCACCACTGCCTGCCAAAGTGTGGGGCACTTCCTGTCAGGCAGCATGGAAATCAGTACCCCTCCACTTATCTGTGGAAGGCCCCAGAAACTCTGGCATTGTGAAGACTCCTTTAGATTGTGGATGGTCATCCATCCGTCTCACTCCATCCTCCTCTGGAATGGCTGGCCCCATGAGTGAGTCGGTCCTGAGTCATGTGACCAGTTCTGAACCATTAGTGTTGTGATCATGTGGCACTGAGCTGGACACTGGCTTCACTTGGGTAGTGGTCACTCTTATCCTGGACCCAAACAGAGGCATGTGAACCAGCTTATCTGTTGGGGGTAGGTAACGTGCTTGGAGAGAAAGTACCTTTTCTAAAATGACCCCACCTGTGAGTGTGTGGGGCGCCTGGGGGACTCTGGACAAGAAGGGAGCATTTCCCATTTGTGTCACCCTTTGGTCTAAAATGCTTTTTGATGCTACACTCTCCTTGGTCAGACCTGTGAGGTAGCTGAGGCAGAAATGATTGCCTCAGACTTAGAGATGAACAGACCGTGGTCTAGGGAGGTCACGGTCACAAAGCTCACAGTGGGCAGACAACCTCTAATTGTGGACCTCTGCTTTTCAGTAACAGATTTGCATGCATACATTCCATCTTGGTTTTTTTCAAGGCTAGGTTCCTGAAGCATGGAGCTGATTAAGTACATGGGACTGGTGTCTAGCAGATATCTGGGGTTCTCTGAAAGCCAGAGATGCAGTGGTTTGGGCCATGTGTTTTGCCTTCCACTTCCACCCATCCACCGATGAGTTGGTGGCTTCTGGACTGAAGGTGTTTCCTTCTTCAAGCAGCCACCTCTCATTTGGCCTGTGTGGCCAGACCACGCCCAGCAGAAGTGGTCGGCCCCCGTGCCCACAGCTATAGTGAGCAGAGCCCTTCTCAGGCACTAGTACAGGGGGTTGCTAAATGAGGCCTTCTTAGGGTCCTTGAGCGAAGCGCTCATATTGAATGGGGCCAGTGTCCCAGCTAATTGTCAGAGTCCCTTCTGCTGGAAATCACCCTGGCTGGGTTCTTGTCTGGGATGAGTCTGAGGCTCTATAGGGCCATGCAGAGGATTGGCTCTGCCATATCCTTCTGGGCTGCAGCAGCCTGCTGGGCAAGAGGACAGGTCCTCCTAGGGTCTCTACCTTTATTTCTCTGCCTCATACTAGAGGCCCAGGCTTCTAAGGGTTCCTGCTGCCCTGTGGGCTGTCTCCCCTTTCCTGTCTCCTTTGTTCCATGTGAGAGTTCCAGATTGCAGGACCTCCAGGCCCTGGGATGGAATAAACACTGCTGGTGTGGCTGGATTTGAAATTGCTCTTTGAGTTAAGGGAATGTTTCTTTTTTGCACAAATTGTATATAGCATAAGACAAAGGCCCTTCCCCACCAGTTAACTGCCCCTTTTCTGTGAATAGCCCTGCATTGCGGTTGAAGTTGAAGCAGCTGTTTGCTAAGGGAGGGCGCCTGGCAGCAAAGCCAGTGGGGTGGCTTTGGCAGAGATGGGCACATTTCTACAGAGGCAGTGTTGTAGTGTCTGGGCTGCATGGGGGCTGTGGGACTCTGAGAGGGCTACCTGGGCTTCCCTGGGACCAACAGAAAAGATGCTCGGGTCAGTGTGAATGAGGTCAGGGTGGGGCCCACAGCAGTTTTCCTCTCTTCTCTGCATGCAGCTACTTTCTCTGAGCTATGGCTGTGAAAAGCATTTCGTTAATCATAACAGAGCTCTTTACGTTTTAGTGTTGAAAGGAATAGTAATGAGGTTTGAAGCAACACCTGGCCTAGAGGCCTCCGTTCCTTGTCTGAGGTGGAGGAGTGACTGCATGTTTAGGCCTCCATTGAACTGGGTTCTGTCATCTCCTGGGACCTCTGGGCTGGGGGAACCAGCAGCTCGGCATCTTTCCATTTGTTCATTTATTTGCTCATTTGTCCATTCAAAATACTGATTGATAGTGTGTGAGGCCCACTGGACATGGAGGATACAGTGATGAGCAGAAAGAGACCCATCCCTTTTACGGGACTTCATCCAAGGGGAAGACAGGCACTTAGCAAGTAACCACTGAAAAAAGGTATAATTCTAGACTCTTAATGGGCTTTGAAGAACAAGTACATGGTGTTTTCAGAAAGTCAGGTCACGACTCTTCAAACTGGCTGACATTCTTGAATGGAGAGAATAAACCAAACATAATAGCAAACAAGATGAGAAACAGGACCGTGGTGACGAACAAGATGATCACTACCAGGCCCCCCTGGTCCCAGGGGTTTAGCCAGAGCTTGTCATTCCAGATACCATTCTGCTTTGTTATCAGTTTGTCCATGTGAACCTGGAAAAGAGGGGACAGTGTTCCTGAGTGTGGGGCCTCTCCAAGGCCCTGTCCCAGGGGCTCTCCCCATCCCTCAACTTTGCCCCCTGGAGCAATCTCAGCAGCTGGCTCAGCCCGCAGCTAGCGGACACTGAGCTGCGTGATTCTTTAGACTCAGTGTCGCCAGCAGGCAACAAAGGGACTTCCTCCCCTAGGGAACCGGGCGCGAGGACAGGCACCAAGAGAGGGGCTCTTGTGTTCTCCCCACGGCTGCTCTCGATTCTCAGTCCTTTCCTGAACAGCCCAGCCGTGAGCAAGGGCTTGTGCTCCTATCCCTGAGACCTACTCAGCCAGAATCTAAAAAGCCCATTACAGATCCCTTCTGTTTTCCTATATCAATTGCCAGACATTGGGGAAGCATTCTGAGAGATCAGCGCAGGAGCTGAGGAGTAGACTGACTCAGGTTGAGACCTTGGTAAGCTTCCTTGGAGGTGGCTGAAAACAGGAGTAACTGATTTTGAAGCACGGCTAAGATCCACAGGCTGCGACCTTGGGGCCAGTCGGAGGGAGTAACGGCGGAAAAGGAAGGCGTCAGTACCGGGTTCTGCTGCTAACACTCGTGTGTCCTAGAGTGGCTGATCAGGGTAATTTTTCAGGCCCCACGCTTTGGGGACCCGCGCTGCAGAGGCCACTAGGTGACCAGGGCTGCACCCTGACTCAAAAAGGCAGCTGTTGGGAGGAAAACGTGTTTGCATTGCCAAGTGGCCTTGACCAGTCCTCATTGTCATCACCGGCAACAAAAGCGGGCTAGGGCCTGTTGCCTAGCAACACTGTTCCTTTCTGCCTTTTGTGTGTCCCTCAGCAGCAATCTGCCCTTTTGTGATGTCCTTTTGGTGGCTGCTCAAGGTGCCTGTGTTGAGGCATCCTCACTGGGAGAAGTCAAACCTGGCAGGTGGGGAGAGAGCCAGGAAGCAGGGCCTTTGCCCCACGCAGCCCCCGCCCCCAACGCCCGACCCCCCTGTTCCCTCACCTGAGGCTGGGTCCCTCCTCTCCTCTCTGTCGAAGACCTGTTGACTGAGGGGACCTGGCCAGAGTGCAGGAAGCCCTGGCGCAGGAACGCCCGCACTGCTGACTTCCTGTGGTGCAGGGGGAATGACTAACTGCAGCTCTGGCTGCCACCTCCTGGAACTAGTTTTGTGTGGAAGAGTTTTTACCACCGTTGGGGTGCAGGTTCCTGTGGAAGCCTCGCTTCTCCCTCCAGCCTTCATCTGCCTTGTGGGCACGGCCTCAGCTGTTTCCTGTGGCTGGTCCTACCTACTGGGAGAGGGCAGCTGGGAAGCAGGAGTGGAGCCTGTGCCCTGTGCCTGAAACCTAGAGGCCACCTTCATCCCTTTAAAGATAGGATTTGAGTGCCTACTGTGGCCAGGAACTGCAACGCATGTCTTGGTCACAACTGCGTGTCCAGGTGTGAACGAAAGGGGCAGGCCTGCCCACGCAGAGCTTCCATTCTGGTGGCACACTGGTCTTGAGTCCTGCTTGTTGGAGCCTTCTGAGAGCTTTTCTAAGTACTGTGCCCAGGCCCCGCCTGGTATCACTTACATCATTCTGTGGGCGCGTCAGAGCCCCATGCTTTGTAAAGCTTGTCAGGTGATTCTCATGTACAGCCAGGGTTGGAGACAGATGATGAGCAAGTTCAAGTCCTTCTGAACGATCATGGGCATACATGACCCCTGGCTTACCTGGTGCCTCACATTTCCCTCTGTAAAACACCCTGACTAATGCCCTTGGCGCGCTTAGTGCCCCCGGCCAGAAGGCCGCTCTGATACATCCCTTTGCTTCCACTCAGTCCAGGTGGATGCTTATCTAGAGGCAGCTGTTGGTTCCCAAACCTGTTTGAGGCAGTTGTACTGGTTATTCTAATTACATTATTGCACTTTACATAAGAAAATGAGGCAACAATAATAGCCGAAACCTCAATTTTACAGCTGGGGAACACGCAGGTGGTGAAGTCACTTCCCCAGGGTCGTTCAGCTAAGAAGTAACTGCATTGGGGGTTGACTCCCACTGTTCAGCTCAGCTGCGCAGCCTGAGCTGTGAGGCTCTGTGCTGTACCTCAGAGAGAGGAAAGTCGTTGTTTCTGTGGACACGTATCTGACCACTTGGGAATTTCTCAAATCATAGTCCTGTCAAAATAGATGTGGACAACACAACTGAAAGCATCTTGTAAAAATCCAGAGATTTCACCCTTGGGTTTCTTTGCAGATGTCTTTAAGTTCTTGTTCTGCTTTAAAGAAACCAAAAATTAGCAAGTCGTCAATATAGGAATTCCAGTCAGCAAACCCACACTCAGAGAAAAGACCTTGGCCCTGCATCAAAAAGATGGGCCGAGGCCCGTGCATGTATGTTTCCATTTAAAATGAGATGGGTAGAGATTGTATTTGTCATGTACATGAAGGTTGCTTTAATTGACTTTTTCAATTAATTGCTGGCCCCAGTTGGAAAATTTTGCTGAAATGATCACCATGAAGGGAATGATATGGTGAGAAGAGGTGGAGAATGTCACTGGTATGTGGCATAGCCTGGCTGAGGGCATCCCCACCCCTGACATGGAGCTTTAAGCTGAGACATGAGGCCTGTGTAGAGGATCAGGGGACATTGTCCCATGGCAGGCAACAGGTCCCAAGGAGAGTGAAGAAACTTTTTTTAAAGACAAAATTAATTTGTCTTTGTTTTTTTATGGTCTGGAATTTGTATTACCCAGAAGCAAATATGTCATGCATATTTTTATTATAGATTGCTTTCAAATGTTAATGTTTGAGAAAACAGTTTTAGGAGAAAAATGTTTTATGTGCTCTGCCAAGTTTTAATAATGTGCTTCTTGTACTGACGGCTTTACTGTAGTTTCTGGTCAGGCATAGCAGGCAGACAGTAAAATGCTCGGATCTTAAGTGTAGAGTGGAACTCTTTTGAGGGACTGAGAGATCACCGTGTGGGAGAGCAGAGGCCACAGTAGGGGAGGTATGAAGAGGCTGCAGAGATGAGCACGGAGTCTGGCTAGGGTGCTGCTGCAGTGACCGCAGGCAGGCCTTGGTGGTGGCTTGGTCCAGGGTGTCTGGCATGGAGAGGTGTGATGGCTGCAGTTGGTCAAATGTTCCCTGGGGCTTGTCTTCCACGGCCACCACCCGTCTTGCGGTATACTCTGTTACTCTGTCACTCTTGTTGTTTGCTTCTCTCTCTACTCTTTCCCACAATGGGGAATTGCTGCCTCCTCTCCATGCCCATCTACCCCAGAGAATACCCATGCCAGGACTGTGCCAGGCTGCTGTGTGCTGGAGCAGACCTGATTTGTTAAGCTGAGTGAGACTGAAGCCTGCCCAGGACTTGACCAGACAGCAGCAGGGAGCCATTGACAGCAGGGCTCAGTGTGAGCCAGTTAGGGGAAGGAGCAAGCTCTCTGAGGGCAGGGACAGCATCTTATTTGTACTCAGCAGTTAGGAATTACCTGGTCTGGAGGAGGAAAATTCTACGAACCTGCCGGTTAGCCTGTCAATACCCATGGTCCTGCCCGTGGTCCCCACCACTTGGCAGCTGAACCAGGGAGCCAGGATCTTTTCTAGCAGTGAGGCTTAGCCACAGCCACCCTCAGGAAAGGGCGTTATTGGTGCTGATGAAAACTTGCTTAAGGAAAAGTCACGTAGGAGTTGGGCTGCTGTAGGGTTGGAGCACCTCCTGAACTGAGGGCTTCCTGCCCCTCACCCCGCCTGCCTGCCGTGGGTGTGGGAACTGAAAGGGCAGGGCTTCTCATCTGGCCCCTCCCATGTTCCCTGTGGTGTTCTCGGAGGGAGGCCTAGTTGGGCCCTACCCCAGCTCTTGTGGGCCCCACCCGCTCCCAGGGAGGTGGTTTGAGAGTGTTTAGAGTGTTGGGTGTTTGGGATCCAGGGTTGGCTGACAGAGGGTAGTAGGATCAGAGCCTGACCTGCACTGCACCCAGGAGGGCTCTCGATGTGGCCAGCAGGAGCTCTGGAGCCAGAGGGCTGGGCCCAGAGGCTGGCTCTGACACTTTTCAGCTGGTTGACCTTAGGCAAGTTACCTAGTGTCACTAAGGCTCAATTTCCTTATCTCGAAAATGGGGATAATAGTTGGTGTCTGCAGCAATGAGGTTGTTGTGATTACATGAATTCAAATGCTCTGGACAGTGGCTGAGCATGCATAGCCCCTCGGTGAAGTTTAGCCATCCTTATCATCACCTTCTTCATCCTCATCATTATTCTGAAGCCCTTCTTTTGTGGTGGTAGGGATGTGGAAGGTACAGGCAGATTCTTGGGCTTTCTTTTATGTTTTTATGGAAGCACTTCCTCTCTGCATCTTAAACCCAAACCAGACCTGTCAGACAAGTCCAGAGACACCAGGAAGTAAAACAGGCCAGAGGGAAAGCCTCTCCCACCTGCCTGCCAGCTGGAGATGGGGTGGGGGTAGGGGTTAGTGACAGGGGCTGGCATCCCCTTCCCACCCCATTTTCTGGGTAGATAGGACTCAGGTCCCAGGCAGCCAGAGCATGGGCTGCACAGGCCAAGTAGACTGAAGCATGTAAAAAGGCAAACCTCTCTATGGCTCTTGGGGGACCAGTGGAGGGAGAGGGTGAGTTAACAGGAGCCTTCTGCTTCCCTACCCTCGTTCCTGGGGTAGTAGCTCTACGTGGAAAGTTCTCTGGAATAGGAAGTAAACTGAAGGGAAACAGGCAGTGTGGTGTTGCACTTCAGCAGGATCAGTCTTTAAAAGGGGCTCTTGTTGCTCTAGGTTGGCCCCTTGTTTAGAGGGACAAATAATGATAACAGTTCATATTACCAATCTCTGAGGGTATGCCCAGCACTGTGCCAAGTGCTCACCTTAGGTCATCTTAGTTTACCCTCAGAAGCTTACCCAGGGAAGTAGTTAATAGGATTAGCCACGTCTCACAGGGGAGGAAACAGAAGGTCAGTCACTAACCTGCAATCACACAGCTGGGTGGAAGGGCGAGGATTTGAACCCAAACAGTTTGGCACACAAATGGGGAAAGGATGAAGGGGTCAGAAAGCAGGTTATGGACAATACTAGAGGCCTGGCCTCTCTTTTCTTACTCCAGAAGTTTGGGAAGCCAGTGGCCTGAGCCTGCTAATGTGAGCTATGCAGACTAAAGTTAATGGCTGTGGAAACTGTTAAGTGGCATTTCTGAACCCAGCACCTGCCAGGGCGGATAGGCTCCATCACCGCAGTGTGGGTATCTGGGAGCTGGAGCCTGTTAGCAGCTAGTGTGTGATAGGAGTTTCACTGCACCCCTTCTGCATGGCATTCTTGCCTGTGTATGTGTCCAGCACTCCTGGGCACAGGAGAGCAGAGGCTTGGAAAGAGCAGTCACTGGCTGCGCCCCTGGAAGTCTAGTGCCACAGACATAACCAAAAAGCTTTTCCTGGGAAAAAAGCAGGCAAATACTGGGATAGAACACTGGTGTGCCCCCTCTCTGGTGGGGAGCTTGATCTAGTAGCTGTTGCACAGAGTCCCTTGGATTGCCCTGCTCCTCTTTGGCGTGGGAGCCCCAAGGGCCAGCTCCCCACAGGTGTGGGCTGTTTTCCATCCAGGAACAGGGACCCTGCTTCTATGTTTTGTTAAAAAGTGCAGGTAGTCAGGCTCCCCAGTGATTTACTCAGTCTTTAAACAGTTGGCAACTCCTGGCACCAGTGTTCGCTGACAGGTGACAGTTTTGTGGCCCTAACAGCCCTTCTTTTCCTTGATAAAGCTCCAGGTATCAGTTTCTGGGTCCCCGGGCAGGGCCGTGGTGCGGCAGTGGGCCTTTGTCTTGGGCGGTGAGGGCTGTAGGGTCACGGCTCTGCTGGTCTCCTCTCCTGCTTCTCCCCGGCCACCCTTCCGGCTCTCACTGTGGGCTCTTGGGCCGCACTTGGACCTTCCTGGCCCTCTGCTCAGGGCGGCAGTGAGCACAGCAGTAGCTGCAGGCGATGAGCAGCAGCAGCAGGACAACGCCTGGAGGTTGGGAGATGGAAGCGGCTCGGAGCTCAGAGGTGGGGGAAGAGGACGGGTCCCACCCCACTTCTGAAGAAGCCCCTCTGGCGGGGGTGGGACCTTTCCCAAAGGTCTGGCCTAGTGGTCAGGAACACCCAGGAGTCTGACAAGAGGCGTTGACTGTCCCCATGCCGGCCACCAGGGCCCTGACCTCCCTGCTGTCTCCTGCCACTCAGAGCTTGGCTCCCTTCATCCCTGGGCCGGGGTGCTTGGAGTGCCTATGGGCCCTGGTCCCAGCACCACCCCGTCACTCCAGAAGCATGTAAAGGATCAGGGGAAACCCCGTGGCTTCCCCCGGGGCACACCCACCTCTCCTCGTCTGTTTGGGGGACTTGCCGCCACCTCCACCAGCCCTCTGGCTAGCACCGCTGTCTCATCTCTCCTGGACGCCAGGGAGAACCAGGCGTGTTGAGGAGAACCTGAGAGTCCCGACTTACCTATGAAGAGGAGGATGACCGAGAAGGCCACAATCTCCACAGGCTCAGCCCGGGGCAGCCTCTGCAGCTTGAGCCTCAGCCTCTCACCTATGGAGTGTATCTCCTGCACAAAGTCGGAGGCCGCCATGCTGCACTGGGTTCCTGCTGGGGCTCCAGAGAAAAAGAGGCCCTGGAGTCCACACAGGGCTGGCTGCAGAGAACCTGCCCTCTCACCCGGCAGCCTGCAGAACCAGTCTGTCAGGTTTCAGCCATTGCACCCCTGCTGGCTCATGGGGGTGGCCCTCAGCCCCCACCTAGCTGGTGCTGCCCGGGTGAGGGAGCTGGTGATGACGGTGAGCCTGAGGCCCTGCTGCCAGAGCTGTTCAGAGCCAGACACAGGAGGGGGTCTGCCAGCTGGCCAAGGTTGGCCAAGGTTTCTGATCTTAAGGTGGGGTGACTTTACAGTCATATTGCTTTTTCTCAGACACCACTCCTAGGTTTGCCAGGATGCCTTAGACTGGCGTGGCTTAGGTCATGCAGGACTTTGAGTTCCCCACAGGGAGACTGGACTTCAGGATTCAGCTTTTCATCGTATGGCGGTGGGGGTGGAGTGGGGAGGGAGGCAGAAGACGGGCTTCTCCTGAGAGAGGGCTCGTGGGCCTTCCGGCCGGGGTCAGCCATGTTTGAGAACGGACTAGGGTAGGTGGTCTGGGTCTCCCTACCAGCCCAGTTTCTGTACTCGTACTGTATTCCTCTGTGAGGAGGAAGAGACGATGCCATGTCCCTCTGTTTATTCCCAAGGGTTCCTCTCTCCGGATGGGATCGGCCATCCCAGGGCTGGTTTAGCCAGCCCTTCCCCTGCTGGCTCAGACCCGCTCCTCTGGCCTGACCAGGAGAGCCCCTCTGTTCCACCCTTGCCCTAGGTGTGTGCCAGCTCAGCCTTCCAGGCCCCACGACCAAGAGCCTCTTCCTGTCCAGGGGTGTCTGAGAGGCTGATGGTGAAGGTCCAGGTTGAGTCTGTGAGTCGGGGCGTGTTCTACATCAGTTTCATTCCCCTTCTGCCTCACCTGTGGGCACAAGGGAGCCTCAGAGAGGGATTGGGAGCAGCCTTGTGCCAGCCCAGCCCAAACCTGCTCACCAAGGCAGCTCTAATCCAAGGGAGGGAACAGGTGGCCAGGGACTTGTGCCAGACCTGGGGCTCTTAATTATTGCCGCCTCGTGCCTGGTTTCAGCCAGGCAGGTTCTCCCAAGGTCCGTGAAGCCGGTTACTCCCGGTGCTACCGTGACGGCATAGCCGCCTTACAGCCGCCTTGCGGGTCATCTGTTCAGGCCCTCCACCCTGCACTCGGCAACTTGTGCCCCTCCTGGCCTGAGTGGGGAGCAACCCACCTCCTCCTTCCTGGGGTAGCTCTGGTCATGGGAAGGTGGGGCCTCCTGCTGACCTCGCTCCTCTCACCTTGGTCACTTAGGGTACTTCCACCCCATCTGCCTTACAGTCCCGCAGGACCTGACGGCAGCTGGGGTGCGCCCTCTGCATCTGCTCCTCCACAGGGTGACAGCTCTCCCTCGAGCAGGTCCGCCTCTTAGGACGTTATTTGAATCACCCTGAATCTGAATGCCGCCTGCCCTCTCCTGCTTTTGTGCATCGGTCGAGTCAGTTCTTGGAATCTGTTTCTTTTCCGCATTTTACATGAAGATGAGGTGCTGTCTTTCAAGGCTGTCGGGAGGTTGACCATCTGGCAGTACAGGGCAGCAGGCAGCACAGCTCTTGGCATAGGAAGGAACCCAGCACGGCGAGGCCCCTGTGGGTGGGGTCTGGTCGGTGCAGGAGAGTCAAGGCAGCCTTCGGGGGCAGTTGTGTACCCTTGTACTGTCAGTAACCCTCCCCAAACACCTCTTGGGAGGCTCACTGTGTCCCTCATTCCCAGGATTGTCTGGTGTGTGAGGTGTAGCGAGGTGGTGGGGGTGAGCTGGAAGTGAGGAGCTATGTTTTTAAGTGACAATGGGGGTAGCAAGACAGATGGTGGCTGTGTGGAAGATTAACAGGTTTCCTGTTCAAAGTGGGAGGTTCCAGGATTTAGGTCCCCCTAGCTTCTCTTAGGGCCCCCACCAAGGCAGCTTATTTCTGCAAAGGTCTGAATAGCTGTTTTCAAATGTACTGAGAAGTGTAGGGCCCTGGAATGCCACAAGTCATGCACCCCCACCTCCTTCCTTTTATATATGGGAAAACTGAGACCTGGGTAACCCTCCAAGGTCACCCAGTAGGACAGGGTCTGGCCTGCACTCCCCTACTGCCCCATGCTGTCTCCATGCAGGCCTATCTTGGGCAGCCTGCTCTTCGGTGGCAAGGTAAGTCAGCCCAGGAGCAGGCTGCTGAGGGCATCACCTTCGTGGTGGGCTCTGCACAGGAACCAGGGCCCCAGAGCCCCCCAGAAGCAGGCGGGCTCTGCACGGTCAGTCCTACCCACATGGTTGAGTCTGGAACACCACCTTTATATGGTACATCACTCATCAGGACGGGGCCACTCCTGCTCTTTGAGAGCCACATGTAACTTTTGACTAAAGGGACAGATCTCGTGTATCTCTCTGTCTCATCAGGTTCGTGGAACTCCTTCCTAGCACAGGACCCCTCTCCCCTGGTCACACTGAACAGACTTCCTCCCACTGGCCAGTGGGGCGGGCTTGCACTAGGAGGGGGGTCCTCTCCCTTGTTCTGGGGCCTCTGGGCATCCCCACTCCTCAAGTTTCCAGGAAGACAGGAGTATGCCCGTGGGCCTCACTCCTGGAGGAGGGAAGGGCGGTGCCTGCTGAAGCCCTGGGGGAGATTTGCCAGGGCTCGGAGGCTCTGCTGCTGCCCCCAACCTCATCTTCACTTGGGCTGGCTTTTTCAGCCTGCTTGGCCCTGTGCCTGCATTGACTAATGTAGCCATCAGAGTTTCCTTAAAAGTGAAAGCAGGCAGAGGGTGAGTGGCACGGGGAGGCTTTTCACTCATGTTCCCACGCCCAAAGACCCAGGGAGGGATTGCAGAGGGGCACCTCCACTTGTGAGTGAGGTGTCATGGACACCCTGGGGCGGCCCAAGAGGAGGAAGGTTGGGCTAAGGCCGAACTGCTCTGTGGGAAGGGCAGGGTTTTGTGCATCAGAGGATTCAGCTCTAAAGTCAGCCATCCTCTGGCGGTGATGAAGTCAGGAAGCTGCAGGCTCATGGCCAGAGGACCTGTGAACAGACACTGTTCTGCCCCAGAGGTCAGGGAAGAGCCCCCTTTGCTTTTCAGTTGATGTTCTGTCATTTCTAGCTTGGGCTGAAATAGATGAACCTTAGCCAGGACCGTAGGGGAGCCGTAGGGCCCCCTTCTAGAGGGAGGAGGCACGTTCCAGCAGGCCCCAGGCAGTCTTCCAGCGCGCTATTTAAAGCAAGGCCAATGGGGTGCCGGACACCTGGTGCCTGATATAACCAGTAGTCGTCAGGTGACCATGTGACATGTGCCCCAGCCATGGCTCTGGAGGGAGCTCTAAGTATAAGTTGTGGCCTGGGGAAGGTGGGTGCCCTGGGCTGGCTGCTGCTTGTCCCTCTTACCCTCCCAAATTCAGAGGGAAGAAGGCAGGAAGCCCGAAGGGGCTACTGATAATTCTCTGTATTTTTCCAGTCTTTCTATCTCCACCAAACTCCCTCCAAAACTGTACTTCCTGCCCGTGAGGCATGAAAGCCAGAGTCCCTCCCACCCCTGTACCCTGTAGTGCCTTGGTTAGAGGAAGCCAGAGCAAGTGTGGCTTCCCTGGGCCCTGGGGAGAGAGAGCATTAGCTGCCGGCGTGGCCCTCATGGAGCCTTTAGCGGGTGCTCCCCGGCTGGTGCGGCAGCCAGCGCCAGTGAAGAGTGAGTGGGGCCCAGGAAGGCTGGCAGATGGGAGGGACTAGAAAACATTCCATGTGTGGCATCTCCTGGCACAGAAAACCTTGTGACAGAGCAGGCAGGCATCCTGCAGGCCAGACAGCTGCCCCTTGGTTCCCTGTTTCCTCTTTGCAAAACTGACACCCCCACTGCAGACACGCCTTGTGGAAGAGAGCGGCAGCCAGCGGGTGTGTTTGAGACCGATAAGCACAGAGTGTCAGTGGCTCAGGGCCCCAAGGGCTTCTTGTTTGGCCGTTATTTTGTCTTGGTGGGTTTCAGCCACCCCTGCCCCACAGGGCTTTGTTTTGTTTGAGAAACAGCTAGAATGAGGCATAACTAATGGTTGTGGGAGGTTTGTGGTGTCCGGAGCCCTGACCAGCAAGGCAGAGATACCTACTGCTCGCAGCACTGAGCCTTCAGACCGCGCCCCTTTCTGCCTGGGCTCCGGCTTGCCCGAGGCCGTAGGCGCTGGAACCTCAGGCACTCCTGCTTCCCCAGCCCTGTGACTTTCCAGGAGGAGGCCCTTCTGCTGCTGGTGATTGTTCCTGCAGCCTCAGAAGCTGGGCATCACTCTTCTGTCCCAGGTCAGGGACCGTGTTCAGGGAACCGTATGCACCTGTGTCTTGTGGGGGCAGGGGGGCCATTTTACAGACAGGAGCTGGCTGGGGGAGCCATGGGCTCACCACTGCGCCTCCCCCTTGCCTGGCACAGCACAGCATCTGTCCCTTCTCTGCCATGTGTTGTCCATTGCAGCAGGACGTTTAGTCTCCCCAGCCACTAACCCAGGCCAAATTCCACAGCCTCTGCCCAGCCAAGAACCCTTGGACTGATCCTTGGTTTCTACTTTTTCCTGGATTGTTTTTCTTTCTAAGTAGATACTAGCTTGTTTGCTTTAGGGAAAACATCTGGTTGGGGAGGGAGACTTTAACCCTGGTGCAAGGACAGGGAGGCAGGAGCAGGCAGCCAGCCATGGTTAACAGGGTGCTGCCCAAAGAGCCATTAGGGGGGCAGTGTTACAGCCACACAGCAGAAGGCCAGATTGCCCAGGCGGCCCCTCCTCCTGCCTCAGTGCCCCCATTGCTGCCTCTTCCCCATTCCATGCTGGGTTCAGAGGCAGCCCCTCACACTTGCCCTGAATGGGGCAGCATTCAGGGAGATTTGGGGGCTCCTGGGGATCTAAGTGGGCCTAGCCTTGAGCTGAGAACACATGGCAGTGAGTGGGCCAAGACTCCCCCAGGAAGTGACAGCTGCTGCTCTTGTCCAGGACACAGGCGGGCAGAGCTGCCACAGGTCCTGGGTTATGCACTGGCTGGGCAGACCCTGCCCTGAGCCTTCTTGGCTGGGAAGGAGCAGGTAAGGGGGGGCTCTGCCTTGATCCTGGGATCAAGGGGGACCTCAGTGGGGAGGTGACAGTTCTCTTGCAAGCCAAGATAGCCAAATCCCTGTTTAAGCCCCCTGAATAGAAAAAGCTTAAACTGACTTGCAGAGTAGGCAGCCTGTCTGGGCCACTCCGCCCAGCAGTCTCAGGGGCGGAGGGGGGTGCCACGGTGAGCAGAGGGCTGCAGCCTTGGCCTGTGCCTCCCAGTGCTGGGTCCTGGCAAAAGAAAGGAGAGCCCAGGTTTGAACAGGAGGCTGCCCAGAGACCATGACCATGTGTGTCCCCCACGAGCTCCCTCTACATGTCATGGTAGATTGTAACCCTCCACGCATAGGGCAGGGGACCCCTGGCCACTCCCTTCCCCGATCCGCAGCCAGCACCACTCACCTACTCAGGTATTGGGGCTTAGGGGCAACCGCAGGTGCTGGGGAGCGCAGTAGCCTTCATGAGGTCTGGCTGGCACCTCTTGGTCCTCCTCAAATGCCTCTTCCCTGACCCACTGCTGTTCCGTGGGCACCTCTCCTCACTGTGAACGGAGCTCCTGACTGCTGACAGCCAGCTGCTGTCTGGGCCTCAGCTTTTTTGTTGTTGGTCGTCCTGGAGATCCAAGTGTCAAATAACAAGGGCTGGCCACTGGAGGGGGAGCCAGTGCCGCCCTGGCCCCGCCAGGCGAGGGAACCCTGCCAGGACCTGGTCCTCTTCAGATTCCTGCTGGGCCCCCTGCCCCCCAGGAGGGCTGCCGGCCGGCTCCCTCTCTTCTGGTCCCTCCTCTTCCTCGCCTCTCCCTCCTGGCAGGCGGGTGCTAAGCCGCTGTGGGTTGGGCCTGGGCTGTGAGCTGATGAAAGAGGAGGTCTGCTCTCCTGTTCCCTGGCAAAGATGACCCCTGGGAGGTTCCACCTGAGCAGTGGAGTGGGGAGGCGGCAGGGAGGCCCCGCGGCACTCCCAGCTCTTTGGCTCTGCACCCCACCCTGTCCCCCTGACCACTCCAGCCTGTCCCTCAGGCGGCTTCCTGGCTGGTCCCTCCTTCTGGCCTCTCCTAGGAAATAGTGGCAGAGCTGCCAGACCACCCAAGCAGCCATCCCCTTGGGGAGGCATCTGGGGGAAGATCTGGGGAGTCTGGAGTGCCTCGGGTGTGGCCTGTGCTTGGCCCGCTTGCCTCGGGTAGGAGAGAGGACGCTGCTAATCTCGTTCTTGCCTCCACACTCCTGGCCTGGCAGTCAGGGATGGGCTCTGGAGCCCCGTGGCCGGTGGGGCCCTTTGACATTTTGCTGGTTGTGCCACCCCAGCAGACCGGGCTGTGCCCGGAGCAGGACAGGAGCCGACCCCAGCCCGCATCTGTGAGCTGTCAATGGAGTCCTTTGAGTGTGAGCACAAAACCCCAGTGAGTCAGGGCTTGGGGGAGGGCAGGGGGAAGGAAGCCAACCTTGTGGCCACACCGCTTCAATGCCAGAGCCTCCCAGAATCCAGACAGACGGCCACTGTGCCGAAGCACAGACTGAAGCGACCGAATGAGAGCACGTAGATTTGAGGAGCCGTGGGGACAGCGCCCTCTAGTGGCCACTGCAACTTCCTTGCTGTCTGGCTTTCAGAGCTGCTTTCCTCACTCAGCTGTCAAGCAACCAGGCTGTGCTTCCTATGGGCTGTGTAGCAGTCGGCTCTTCCCTGGAGCATGGCCCTTAGGGGCTCAGCTTCTCCTGGGCTCCTTGCAGCCTCAGGCAGTGCTCACCTTGAGAGGAGTTCTGGTTAGAGCCCTGACGCCCGCTGTTCTTGTCCCTGGGATGTGGTGCCTGGGCGGCCCTGCCTCTGCTCAGGCATCTCCTCTTGGGCTCCCCTGCCCCATGCCACATTCCTGTGGCAGAACTGGCCATCTGTACAGGTCCTGATAGAGCTACAGCCCTTCCTGGGGCCTCTGCATCTGCCCCAACTGTGCCTCCAGCCTAGGGGATCACAGGAGAGACAGCTGGAGGCTGGCACCCCCAAGGGGTGTGTCAGGTTCAAGGCAGTGGAAGACTGGCCAAGGCTGCATGTCCCTGATGCCCTCACCAGGGGCTGGCATGTGATAACAGTCTCAGGGCTACTGTTCCTGCGCTCTGGCAGTCCCCAGCCCCTAGCTGTGTATCCGGGGCTGGTCAGAGGCTTGTTGGGGAAAATGAGGAAGAACTCGCCGAGAGGTGGAAGGAGAGTGCTGCCCCCTGCTGTGCCTGCCCTCTCCCACCCCCAGGAAAGGGTGAGCAGCAATAATAAGAGCCCTTTGTGGGTACCAGACACTGTGCAGAGCACCTCGGAGTCCTCTCACCCAGCCCTTCTACACTACAGCCCTAGGGGCCAGCACGCTCATACTGTTTTACAGGCAAGAGCGAGTAGCCTCTGTAAAGTCAAGTGCTTTCCCAGAGTCAGCATCTGCCTCGCCTTAGCAGAGGAGCCTTAGCTCCTCCCAGGACACCCCTGTGCCAGAGGACGGGGGTGCAGGAGGCCAGGGCCCAGGGGAGGATCACTGAGAAGCAGGACAGAATGGGGGTCACAGCCTGGCACCTCTGGCGTCTCCCAGGTGTTATGTGACCTTGAGAAAAACCCCTCACCTCACTGTCCTCATCTGTAAAATGGGCAGCCAAACAATGCCTGTGAGGCTTGTATAAGCTGAGGAGTGTGAGGTGCCTAGTACAGTACCTGACACGTTTAGGCCTTGGGGGAACACATGCTGGCCGGCCTGGGTCCCTCACCCCTTGCCTCTGCCGCACTGCTTGCTCAGGTGCCGCCATGCTGCCATTGCGAAGTACTTTGGGGATGCGCCCCCCACCTGCACCAAAGGCTGTGACCACTGCCAGAACCCAGCGGCCGTGCGGAAGCAGCTGGACACCTTGGAGCACGAAAGCAGCTGGAGCAGGACCTGCATTAGGCCCTCCCAGGGGAACGGCTTTGACCCTGAGCTGTATGAGGGAGGCCGCAGGGGCTATGGGGGCTTCAGCAGGTGAGGGGCCATGAAGCTAGGGGCCCCCAACCCCCTGAAAATAGCCTGGCATTCTCCCCCTGGTGCCAAGGCCAGACCTGGTGTCACAGCTCACCCCCTGGCCTGGAGGCTATACTGGGGCCAGGGCCTTGGTGTTGACCTGAGCCACCGCGGCATCAGGGACATCATTGCCCCAGCAGAGGCTTGAGAAGGCCGGGTTGCTCATGCCCAGCATCTCCCCTAGGTACGACGAAGGTTCTGGTGGCAGCGGGGACGAGGGCAGAGACGAGGCCCACAAGCGGGAGTGGAATCTCTTCTACCAGAAGCAGATGAGTCTACGCAAGGTGAAGGGGGTGGGCTCCCAGTTGTCCTCCTCCCTCCCCGCCCCCATGCTCCTCTAAGCTCCCTCCCTGGTGCTGGACAGGAAACTGTCCTGCAGCAGGGGCAGGATACCTCATGGGCCTTCCATGTTGTATTCCAGGGCAAAGAACCCAAGATAGAAGAATTTGTACCCCCAGGTCAGTACAGATTATCTCTGGGGGCTTGGGGGCAGTCCCCAGGGTAGTGACGAAGGATGGCTTGGAGGGGTTGCATAGGTCAGAGAGTGGAAGGGCCCATCCCTCCTCCCCTCAGATGAGGACTGTCCCCTGAAAGAAGCTTCTAGCAGGAAGATCCCCAGGCTCACTGTGAAGGTAAGAGGTGGGCAATCCCTCACACCCGCCTCTCAGGCTCCCCGCCCGACACTGAGGCTGGTGTGACCGACTTCCCTCCCCTGTGCAGGCCCGTGAGCACTGCCTAGGGCTTCTGGAAGAGGCTCTGAGCGGTAACCATCAGGCCACGGGTACCACCGACGGGTGAGTGTCCCAGGTCATGGGGCTGAGGAGGCTTCCCAAGCTCCTGGTCCTTTGTAGACGGCAGGAATCCTCACTCACCTGGCTTGTGTGGGCACCCCGCTCCCCAGCTGGTGACCCATCCTACCCCCAGGGGGTGCAGGTCCCCACAGCCTCTTCAGGAGGCAGGCTCAGCCATGACTGAGGGGCTGCCGGGGGCTGCTGAAGGACAGCAGGCCGCAGGGCACCCAGAGTCCGGGGCGGAATCCCTGTGCCCAAGGCCCTGCCCACCAGGCCTGCAGTCAACACCCAACAAGAGCTCCACAGGAAGAGGACTCCGGCCCAGCTCATGCCTGGTGCTCGTTCCTACCCGCAGACCTGCCCTCCAGGCCAAGGCTGTGGAGCTGGAACACGAGATGTTCCGAAACGCCAAGGCGGCCAACCTGTACAAGGCCGGCGTGCTGAAGAAGGTGGGCCGGGTGGGGGCGGGCGGGGCACGCTGTGGCTGGGGTGGGAGAGGCAGCCCCTGCACACTCCGGGCTGCCTGCCCGCCCCGTGGCCCAGAATGTGCCCTCTATCCACTCCTTACCAGGGGGCCACTTAAGCAGGGGGACCCCAACTTCCCTCCTTTGCCAGCTGGTGGTATTTCCAGCCAACCCCATGAGGACTACAACTTGTCCAGTGTCCAGTTGCCTGCAGCCATGGGCCACAGAAGTCCACTCAGGGAAAGCCTGGGTTGGGGGCTTTCAGGAGCTAGGGGTGCCACGTCATCCCCACCTGTCTCTGCCTCAGGTGGCTGAGATTCACAGAGCGTCCAAGGATGGGCAGCTGTATGAAGGGGCGTACGGTGCCAAGAGCTGCAGCCCCCAGGCCCAGCCCCCAGAGCCCACAGAGTACGACATCCGGCCAGCCTCCCAGGTGTACTCGGTGAGCAGTGACCTGGTGTCCCCTCCAAAGCTGGGTTGCAGAAAAGCACCACTTCCCTGTGCCCCCAGCTAAGGCATAGCCTTGTGCCCTCTACTGGCATCACACCCTGGCCCCAGGGCACCCCTGCTCTGCCAGCTGCCCCTCTGTAGCCCCCACAGCCCTCCTCCCGTCAGCCTAACTTCCCCTAGTCTCCTGCTGGCTTTTCCCTCCTCCACTCCCAAGAGCCCCACCAGCACAGCCATGCCCGGACCAGCCAGGGACGGCCTTCAAGAGGGCCCGGTGGTCAGAACCCTCTCCTCCTCAGCTCAAACCCAAGCGAGTGGGAGCTGGTTTCTCCAAAGGCTCCAGCCCATTCCAGACGGCCACTGAGCTCATGGAGAAGATGGGGACTGAGGAGCAAGCCCCACAGCCTGTATGGGCAGGCGAGCAGAAGCTCCCCAACCAGCCCTGTGGCCTCCAGGGCGAGGACAGGGGTGAGCCCCTGCCTGGGCCCAGAGGAGAGGCCCCTGGAAGCAGTGCTCACTGTGGGGTGTCCTCCCCTGAGGAGAAGGCAAAAGGTCCCTCTAGGGGAAGCCCCGTTGCCCAGGCCCGGGCCAAGAAGCAGCAGCAGCTCCTGGCCGCAGCGGCCCTCAAGGATTCTCAGAGCATCGCCCGCTTCTTCTGCCGAGGGGCTGAGCGCCCGCCTCCCCGCCTGTCAGCTGCCACAGAAAAGCACACGGGAGAGGTGGATGTGTCCCTGGATTCTTCGGCGGCTCCCCCTCAGACTGAGAAGTGCTCCAGGGAGGGGCTGAGGTGAGGGCACCGTATGCCCAGGTCCCCTGGAATCTCCGCTGGCAACACCTCTGAAGCGGGTGGGTGCCTCAGGCAGATGGAGGCCGCTGGGCCGAGGGCACAGCTGGTCCCTGGAGCCCTGATGCCTGCTCTGCCCTCTGAACAGGGCCTGCTCACTCCAAGACCAGGGGACCCCTGAGGGTCAGCCTACCCCCACAGAGGAGACACGGCAGGGCAAGCGACCCAGGCCCCCGCAGGTACTGGCCGGGACCAGGCCGCAGTGAGAGGGAGGTGGCGGGGACCAGCTGTACCTGCTCTGCTCTACACTCGGGGTCTGGGCAAGATCGTCCCAGGGGCAGATGGGCTGGGCTGGAGGGAGCCAGGGGGTGCTGTGGCCCAGGCTTCCAGAGGATGGGAGGGAGGGCCAGTGAGAGGGAGCCCGAGAATGACCCTGCACTGTGGTCCTGCACAGGAGAACCCCGAGAGCTGCGCGCAGAAGAGGCCTTGCTCTTCAGCCGATGTCTCCATCTTAGTCAAGGCCAAAGACAGTAGTATCTCAGCCGGTGATCAGGGCACCTGGGAACCCATGGCTCAGAGCTCCTGCCAGCTCCCAGCTCCTGGCGTCTCCCTGAAGGAGGCTGCAAATGTTGTGGTCAAGTGCCTGACCCCTTTCTATAAGGAGGGCAGGTTTGCCTCCAAGGTAGGATAGGAGGGTGGGTGTGCCCTCCCCTGCTCCTGGCCAGTGGGTACGGTGTGGGTGGGGTGGGGGCAGGGAATGTGGACCGCAGGACGCAGGGAGGAAGCAGCCTAGCCAGAGGCTGCCTTGGTCTTGGGTCAGGCTGTGGGTCGTGGGTGCTCGGGGAGCAGGGCCGGGCTCTGTGCTCTCTGCTCCTCTACCCTCTGCCTCCCAGGAATTGTTCAAAGCCTTTGCCCGCCACCTCTCGCACTCCCTGACTCAGAAGAGCTCTCCTGGTGGGAGTGGTGAGTGCCTGCATCACTGGGCCAGGAGGCACGTGGGGAGCACTGCAGGGGGGAGCCCGGCCCTCACTCTCCCCACCCTGACCCTGTAGTGAAGGAAGAGGCCCAGAATCTCATCAAGCAGTTTTTCCATGGCCGGGCTCGGTGCGAGAGTGAAGCTGACTGGCATGGGCTGTGTGACCCCCAGAGGTGACGACTGCCACCCACCGGGGCCGCCATCCTCCCTGGACTCTGCCGTGGGCCCCCCTGGGCCTTGCCCTGGCATGGGGAAGGTGGACAGGCCTGCTGCCACCAGGCATCAGCTTTTCTCAGGTCTTCACCCTGCCGGCCACACCTTGCTTTAGAGATGGCTCTGGATGCCTCCCAGATCAAGGTCAGAGGCCAGAGGCCAGCCTGTCTTTCTCCTCCTTGCAAGGCCTGAGGTCTTCCTTCTCCTAGCCTCCCTGCCTCTCCTGGGCCTCATGGCTGGGTTTTCTGGGCCAGGTCCCCAGATTAGGAGGTGGCAGCAAGAAGGAACAGTCCCTCCACCTCTTGTACTTAACTAGCTGTAAACTGGGGGCGAGGCCTGCATGTCCAAGGCACTGGGGTCTCTTCAGGAATAGCCCCGCCAACCTTGGGTCTCCCGCCCACTACCCCTGTCCTTGTGATGCCAGCCTTCAGCCTGGCCCACATGCAGAGCTCGTGGGAAGGGGGGCAGCAGCCAGGTCCTGCTCCCTGCTCGGCTCCTGTAAGAAAGCCAGGCTGGATGGAGACATTTATCAGAGGAATAAAGCCCTGTTTGTACTGACACACACGCACGTGCAGCCCTTTTCTCGGGAGTTTTATTCCCTCAGCACCTGCTGATGTAGAGCTGGGGCCTGGGGCCAGGTGGGCATCTCCTCCAGACTGAGCAACATCAATGCCCAGCTGAGTTCCTGCAGCCCCCTCCCCGGCCCAGGCCCGCCTCCCAGTCTTGCCACTCTTCCAGTTGATGTCACTGCAGCAGCCCCGTGTATCATCATCTCAGGTTCCAGAACAGCCAGGCAGTGAAGTCCCAACCAAAATGGCACGACAGCCCCAAGAGAGACCTTCCTGGTGGTCTTGGGCCAGAGAGGGGCCCCTTCCTCCTCCGCCCATCCGCTCCTCCCCTTGGACGCGGCCGGCCACTAAGTGGAAGCACTGCTGCTCTCCAGCAGGAAGGCGATCGTGCTCTTCAGCTCCTGGGCCTGCGGGCACAGGCCTGCTGAGGGCGGGGCTTCCGCACCGCCGGGCTCCAAGCACCCGGGGCCTGGGGGAGGCACTCGCCATCTTCCCAGGCTGGCCAGGGGCCCCTGCCACTCACCTGCGGCAGCTCAAACCAGATGGTTCGAGGGTTCTCCGCGGAGCCGTAGTTGAGTTCCAGGCCAGGAGGCCCCTCTGCCTCCCGGGGGCTCAGCAGGTGGAGCCGCTGCAGGTCCCTCAGGGCGATGGAGCAGTACAGTCTCTGGGGGCAGGAAAGACAGCAGAGCTTGGCCCCTCTTGGGAGGGGAGGGGTCCGTGTGGGTGGCGGGAGAGGAGTGGCCCGAGGGTGCCCAGGCGGCATGGAGGCAGGAGCCCGGCCCACCTGGGAGCTGGGGTCCATGATGACCAGCTGCTGGCGGTTCAGCCCCAAGAGGACAGGGCCTGGCAGAGCCAACTCGCTCACCCGGAGCACCACGTAGACCGTGTAGCCGAAGAGGGGCAGCTGGCTGATGGTCTCTGGGAAGGGAGGGGTTGGGACAGGAGTTCTGGTCACTGGGGACCTGGGTCCTGCCCAGCCCGGCCCCCACCTTCACCCTTTCCTGTGGCCCCAGGCTCACTGATGAAGCCGATCTGCGCGTCCTTGGGGCTGTGTCCTCGCAGCTGCCTCAGCTCCTGGCCTGTCAGGTTCTTGATGGTGGCCAGGTTCACCTGCCAGGGCAGCGACTTTGGCAAGTAATCCAGCAGGTCTTGCCTAGGACACAGCCTGGTCAGTCAAGGTTGGGTACACAGCAGGTGCTAAGTAAACGAACCAGTAGCTACTGTGGGTGAGATTGGGGATCCAGACACATGAATGACAAGTGGCCCCTGCCCTTGAGGGTCTTGGGAGGACAGGTGTACACAGCCTCCACTGCTCTAGGCCCATCTGGGTAGGACCGTGAAGTGTATAGGTCAAGTGGCCTTGACCTGGGCTGGGGTGTTGGGGGCGATGGCAGACTGAAGGAGAGGCCCTTGAAGTGGGCCTTGGCATCAGGAGGGACAAGACAAGAGGCATGGGGGGAGGTGTAGGGGCTGTGCTCCCACTCACTCTGAGGGGGGCCCCTCCTGGGCCTTGCTGAGATGCTGCAGGGCAGCCAGCCTGGCAAGTTGGGCTTCCTCTAGGGTGCTGACCACCAGCTTCCCCTGCAGGTAGTCCCTCAGCACCTGGGAGAGGAGCACAGTGAGCAGCTGTGTCCCAAAGCCCCCTGGTTGGTGGCTCCTGTGGTCAAACCCCGTCCTGCCACCATCCCTTCTCTTTGATGGGGAGGGATGCTGGAAGGTTGCCCGCCCAGGCAGGGACTCGCCCTCAAACTGCAACCGGCGCTCAAACCACCAGCGGCAGAGCAGCCCAGGGCTGGTGGGGAGCTGACCTGGCTGTAGTGGGTGCTGATGTAAGTGGGATTATCGAAGTGCAGCTGTGTCTCCCAGCCAAGCCTCCGGCTGTGCAGGCTCACATCCTGATCCAGCACGCTGTTGAGGTACTCTTGGGGCCACAGGGGCCGCACCAGACCGCCTGCATGGGGAGCTCAGGTCCACAGCCTGCCCCAGTGCCATGGGCACAGGTGGGCCTGCCAGGTGAGCTGCCTCCCTGAATCCTGCCTAGCCACCCTTCCTCCCCAGGCTAGACAATTCACCTTCCCTCTTGATGAGGAAGAGGGCAAATTCCTGTACTTCCTGGGGGTCCATGATGCCCATGTGCCGGCACAGCTCCTCCAGCACTTCTGCTGCCACCTGGGCATGTGGACAGGGCCGTGACGGGGGGAGAGAGGATAGGGTACCCCCAGGACTGATGCCCACAGCTTCCCATCCACTCCCCAGCACCCCCTTGGTAGCCCCAGTCTCACCGTGAAAGTCCGGATATTGGTCTTGTAATCCACACCCCCAGGCATGTGAATTTGAAGCAGGTGGACCGGCTTCCCTTTCTGTCAAGGCAAGTTGCAGGGTCAGTCCACCAGTGGACAGAGGCCCCAGCTGCCTCCCATCAGGGAGCCCCAAGATGCCCAGTCGCCTGTGCCCCCAGTACCAGGAGAGCCTGCATTTCACCAGGGGAGGGCAGCCGCTGACGTCCCCCGTATTTGACCGTGCACTGGAGGTGCTCCTGGCTGCTCTGGGCCAGTTCTGCAGAGAGGAGCCACACTGGGGTCATGAGCATCTCCAAACCCCTTCCCAAGGAGCCAAGACCCCAAGGTGGAAACCCCTCCCACAGGCACCTTGGCTTGGGCCTGAGTCCTGCAGAAACTTGGTCACATAGGGCATCAGCGTGGTTGACGGTGGGAAGGAGCCAGTGAGGAGGCTGAGGAAGGTCCAGCCTCGAGCACAGAGTTCCCTGCAGGTCAGCGAGCTTGGGGTCCAGGCTGGCTGGACCATGGCACTGGGCTGCCCTCTGCCCCTCCCCACCAGTCCCCTACACTCACGGCCGGGGGTGTCCCGTGACCTGCTTGATGACCTGGCAGTAAATCTCATCCCGGAGTTTCTCCTCCCGGCACAGCTGTGGGGACAGGAAGGGCAGGTGGGCAGGGGCAGAGCTGCAGTGCAGTGCACTGGGGAACAGTGAGGGGTCTGAAGTCAGAAAACCTGCTAACAGTTGGGGACCAAGTCAAGGTGACAGCCCAATCAATGGTCACCTTTTGGTCTTTGTCTTAGTTTAACAGCATTTGCACAACTGGTCACAAAATCACTGTCTTCACCTCTTGCAGGCTGTGCTTGGCCCTGTCCTCTTTCTCTGTTCCCTGTCTTAGTCACCCCCACTGGCTCCCCTTATCTCCTTGATCTCTGCATGCCATCTCTCACCTGGGATCATTGCAATAACGTCTTTTTGTCTTTACACCCCCCCAGAGTGGCAAACAGAAGCCAGAGTATCCCTGGAAAATGTAAGCCAGGTCTCTTCAGAACCCTTGAGTGGTTGCCCATCTCTCAAAAAATCAGAGTCCTGACAGCCTATAATGCCTGCTGTGACCTGGACCCACTGTCCCTGCCGGGCCTCACCCTCCACTCTCCCTGGGCATCTGGGCTCCAGCCACGCTGGCCTTGGTGGTGCTGAGCTCAGCCTCTCATTGGGATTGTCCCCCGCCCGTCTCTCCACCCATGTGCACTGCCCCAGCGCACGTGTGCCTCACTCCCCGGCTTCGGATCTCTTCCCCAGCATCACCTTGTCACCAAGCCCTCTGCACTATAGCCCCTCCCCCTGCTCTGTCATCCCCCACAGTGCTTTTCACACACTGCGCCACGGTTTACTGTCTGTCTTCTCTGACTGGATTGTAAGCTTTGCGGGGATTTAGCCTGCTTGGTTCACTGCCGTGCCCCCAGCAGGGAGCAGGTGCTCAGTAAATACTTTTGGGTAATTTGAGTGAATAGTGACCAAGGGACGGGGATCCCATTCAGGCCCAGCAAGAGGACAGGGCCGCTCCCTCAGGGCCCCCAGCATCTCCCTGCAGCTTCCAGCATATGCAGCTCTGGCTCACCTTCAGCAGCATATACAGGAGATCTATCTCGTCCTTGCCCCGGGGCTTAGACTGGTCCCCCATAAATTGCATCAGAGCTGCAGGTAGGATGAGAAACATGGTGAGCTGGGCTGGGGGCCTGGCTCTGACTCATGTGGTCACCACACAGGGCCTTCCCCTGCCATCTCTCCTTGCTCTCAAAATGCATGTGAGCCAGACAGAGTGGCATCTCAGCTTTTCTGATGAGGAAGCAACTGGAGAGATTCTGTGGGCACCCTCGGCTACACACAGTGCCTAGCCAGCCGGACCCACTGCTGCTTTCCAGCCCTGACTCCACATAGTGCACGAGCCCTTTGGTGTGAGCAGAAGTGGGTGAGGCTATGGGTTACAGGAACCACCAGTGAGCCTCCCTGAGTTGGCCAACTCAAGGAGAAGGCAACCAAGCGCCTAGGTCCAAGGCACCACAGACACAGGGACCCAGGGTACTGGGGCCACTCACCCTGAAAGCTTTCCACAGCCTGCCTGTTCATGTCCTCATCACTGAGGCAGATGAGTGATTCCTGGATGGGTGCCTGTGGCCAGAGAGGCTGGGCTGTGGTTTGATCCTTGGGGCCAGAGGGTGGGTCCACTGGCCTGACTCCTGCCCACCTGGTCCCCTTACCTTGGTGTACTGCACCAGGCTGGCCACGGACTTCCCCTTAGCACCTCCACCTTTGTGGTCCAGCCTGAGAGGGCAGAGAGGGGACGGCTCTGCTTGCTGGGTTCCTGCCCCCATCCCAGGCTGTGTAGGGAGGGTGCTGAGAGCACTAGCCTGGTGGCTCTGAGCAGGGGGTGCACTTCAGGAAGACTGAGGATAAGCAGGTGTAGGGGTGAGCCCAGGGCACTCACTTCTGGGGCTTCCGGAAGTATCTCAGGGCAAATTCCTGCATGGTATAGTTCTGGGAGTCCATGGACAGAGAGACGTAGGCCACAGAGTGGGGCATGCTGCTGGCCTCTGACTTATCACTGAGTGCCTGACTCCAGGGGCGTCTGGGGCGCTGGGAGCACAGAAGACCTAGAGCCACTCGAGTGCCTGCTGGCCTGTCCAGAGGCCCCGCCAGCCCCAGCCCCAGCCCTGCCCAGCCTGAGAGGAGCAGCTGCAGTGAGCACACCACCAGGAGCCAGGGGAGTCAAAGAGCCTTTTATTGAGCATCCGCTAGGTGGTGCTGCACTGACATGGGCGGGACGTGCCGCCAGCCCCTGTCCACAGGGAGCTCGCAGTCTTGCTGGGGAGACAAGGCAAGAAATGGAGAGAAGCAGAGGGGCAGCACCAGGCCAAGTGCTGCCCACCAGGTGGCAGGGTGGCCCCTAGTCAATCTGGGGCAACCAAGCCCTTTCCTTCTTGACTTCTAGTTAGGCCTCGCCTCTGCGGCTCCCGTCTTCCTCACCTCCGATGCCCTGTCCCACTCTCCGTGCTGCTGCTGAGCCCTGTGCCGGGCACTCCTCTGCTCTGGCGTGAAGGAGAAGTCTGGAGCAGCAGCTGGCTGCACTATGTCGGCAGGAAAGAGTCCGGAGCGGCCCCCGACGGAGCCAAACTGCCAGCCTAAAAGGCATTCAAAGATGGCGCCTCACTACCTGGCTGCTCTGCCACTCAGAGGCTCTGCCATGCGCTGCCATCCTCCCTGCCGGCCCCTGGGGATACCTGGCTCCAGAGTGGCCACTGGCAATAGCTTGATGAGGTCCCCACGGTGGAAGCTGAGGAGGCTGCGGTCATCAGTGATGTAGCTTCGCAGGGCAAGGACGTAGCCAGAGTCCTGCAGGCAGGCAGGTGAGGAGGGAGGGAGCGGCTGGCCTGGGCCCCGCCTCCCGCCTGCCTCACCGGCCCTCCCCCATTGGCTTCCTCTCCACCCGGCACCCAGAGATCCAGGGACCCAGCCTGAACCCCCAGCCCCACCCCAGCAGCTTGAAGGTGTCAGGCTGGCAGCTCTAAGACCAGTCAAACCAGACAGGGCACAGAGCAGCATCGGCGGAGGCCCCGCCCGGCCCACACTTGCCTTCCTGAGCTCGCCCAGGAACAGCTCCACCATGGCCTTGATGGCAGTGGCCCGGGCCGTGTGCAGCACCAGCTGCTCACTCTTCAGGGACAGCGCCAGGGCAGAGCTGCCCAGGCACTCCACGCCCAGCACCTCAGCAAAGCTGTGCACAGGGAGGGGCATGAGCCAGAGGCCTCTTCACCCCCCGCACGCTGCACCCCCCAGCCCACACTCACCTGTAGGAGCAGAGAGTCTTCAGCTGGTCTGGGTACAAGCCAGAACCTTGGGTCACCTTGAGCAGCCTCAGCCCCCGGTGGGACACGCCCAGCAGCTGGACATCGCTGCCACTCTCACCCTGCCCAGAAGGTAGGTGGCACGTGCTCCTGGGTCCCCACCACCTGCTCAGGGCCAGTGCTGCCCTTCATCCTTCCGCAGGGGCCAACCCACGCCGCAGCTCTCTCCCTGCTGCAGTGTGTCCTGGGATCCTGCCCGGGGTGCTGACATCCCAGCCCCATCCCCAGACTCACTGACCAAGACAGGGAAGATGCGGGAGAAGTAATTGGCCCAGTTGTCTCGAGCGGCCACCACGATGCGCTTCTTGACATTGTCCTCCGTGGTGCTGAGTGAGTCCAGGCTCACCTCCAGGTCTCCTGAGGGCAGGAACGGCCCCAGACTGTCCCCAGGCTCCCTCACGATAACCCCAGAGTTCGCTCTCTCCCTCCGGGCAGACCCAGCACTCCAGCTCCCTGACCTCACGGCCCCCAGGTCCATACCCAGCAGCTCTTTCATTCTGCGCCGCTCATTCTGGGAGACCCGGATGCAGGACGCAGCAAAAGTGTCCCTCAAGATCTGGGGGCAGAGCCAGGTGGTCACCGCCAGGTCCCAAGGCCAGAGCGCACCATGCAGGCAGCCACACATGGAGGAAAAGCTGTGATGCCCCGTGGGCACAGGTGGAGCAGGGAGGAATGTGGTGCTTCCAAGCCCAGGGCCATGTCGCCCTGGAGCCCCCACCTGCCACCCTGACTGCCTGCACTAGTTGGGCTACTGTCCCTTGGTCAGCGGAGGGAAGCTTCCTGGGAGCAACAGAACCTGGAGGAGGAGAGGAAGCTGCTGCAGAATTGGGGCGGGGGAGGAGGCACAGCCCTGGAAGCACCCAGAGGTGGCAAAGGAGCAAGCATGGGCACCTGCTGCGTGCCAGGGCCTGCGCTGGGACTGTCCACGCTTCATTTTGAATCCTCATTACAGGCCAATAATAGCCCTTAATCTTTTTTTTTTTCATGAATAAGATCAGCTGTCTTTTTTATTTGTGTGTTTGTTTAATATATCTTCCCTTCGATAAACATGCTGGGTTTTCTTTCAAGACATTTTTTTAGAGCAGTTTAGAGTTCATAGCAAAATTGAGGGGATGGCACAGAAATGGTAATGGCCCTTCCTCTTAGGGGTATTGTGAGTACTGAATAAATGAAGGCAGGACTTGAAACCTGGCAAGCGCCCCACAGGTGCGGCTATCGCTATGCCCGTTGCACCGGTGGAAACCTGGCCCGGGGAGCGGGCAGCCTGTGCTTGCCGCAGTGGGCCAGGCTCTCACCTGCTCACAGATGAGCCTGAGGCAGTAGGGGTGGCTGAAGTTCTCCCGGGGGTAAAACACCTGCAGAAGAGCATGGGAAAGTGAGAACAGGCAGGACGGCCCTGCCCAGCACCTGGCCCACCTGCCTCCGGGCCCGACGGGAACCCCGCCTGAGGGGATGGGCAGTGGGGAGGCAGCCCCAGTGTTTGAGTGCGCCAAGGAGAGGCTGAGGTCCCAGCTCAGAGAGGCCAGGCTGCGGCCCAGTGTTCATGCCCACCTCCTTGCGGAGGAACAACCTCCAGGGTGCACTGGCATAGGAGAAGCACACACTGCCAGAGGGCACGAGCAGCTGGGTGGGGATGCCCTGGTCCCCCATGGGCTCCATCAAGCCTAGAAGAGGGAGGAGGCAGAGAACAGCAGGCGAGGAGCTGCCAGATGATGAGGCGACATAGTCCCATGTCCTGCCTCTGCTTCTGGTTCTCAAACTCCCTGCTGCCCCTGACAGGTATGGGGCCCCCTGACTGTGTCAGCAGAGCCACCACATTCCTCTCAGAGTTGCCAGGCATCAAGGACATCACCCAATATGTGACAGTCCCTCAGGCCCTGCCCTGGACAGGAATGTAGAAGCCGGGGCCCCTTGCTCACGGCTCCGAAGGCCGGATGCCCAGCAGCTGTCCTCAGCCCGGAGCACCGAGAAGCTGTTGGGAATCCTGCCCCTGCCCCACCGAAGCCCACCGCACAGGGATGTGGGGTTCCTTACCTCGGTGCTCAGCTGAAGGGCTCCCTGGATCCCCGGGCAGAGGCAGTGGGGGTGCTGGTGGAGGTGGGGGGGCCTGGGCAGTGGGTGGGGACTGGCCAAACAGCTCTTGAAGGGGCCCCTGCTTCTCCTTGATGGAGCTGGAGAGCCCGGGCTGTGCTGGGGCCTTGGGCCGACGGGCCACAGCCGGTGGGGGCCCCTTGCCTGGGCTGGGGGGCAGTGTCTGGGGAGGCACACAGAACACACACGGCAGTGTCTAGGGGCAAGGCCAGGTCTACCCCAGAGAGCCTTGGCCTTCCAAGCAGAGCAGCCCTGCCTTGGCTGGGATGGGGCCTCACCGAAGGGGACGAGAGGGCACCATTGATCCCCAGCTTCGCCAGAGCCTCGTCCTTAGGGTTGTTCATCTTTATGAAAGTTTTGGGGGGCCTCCTGAGAGAAGAGGAGCCTCATGAGTCCACAGGGTGGTTCCCTGGGGAGCAGGCCACCCGGCTACCCCCTGGCGCCCACCTGGATGGCTGCACGGGCACAGGCACGGGGCCGGGGCGGCTCTGGTACATGCGGATGATGTTGCGGATCTCCCTGCTGGGCTCAGCCCGCTGGGGCGCAGGGTTCGAGCTGGGCACCGCTGCCCTGCCCTGGGACGGCTTGCCGCCACCGCCAGGCCCGGCCTCCCAGGACGGCTCAGCCTCAGCCTCCTTTGGGGCAGCTTTGGCCCCGCCTGGTGTCGGTGGCTTCCTCACAACCGGGGGAGGAGGAGGGGACGGCACTGACCAGGAGGACAGGAAACGTGAGACCCTGTGCAGAAACGCGGGGCCTGGCCTCCCCCATCGCCCCACCACCTGCTCTCGGTTCCTCCCCATGCTCCCCTTGCTCCTCCTCCTGGGGGATCTGCACTTTGGCTGGAGGCTTCACCATCTTCACCTTGATCTGCTGCTGCCCTGTAAGAGCCCCAGATGGCCATGTTACCCTCCACCTGGCCTGCCCACTGGGGCTCCTGGACAGGCCACACTGACCCAGGGGAGCATAGTAGACCTGCCCCACCATCCCCTGGCCAAGCCAGGTGGTGGCCAAGTTTGTTCAAGGGCCTGCCACCCCAAGCACCCTCACCCATCTTCTGGAAATAGTCCTGTTTCTCCTGGAAGCTCTTGGGCCGCCAGGGCTTGGCTTCAGCCTCCTGTGAGGTCTCCTGTTGGCAGGAAGGGGAAGTGAAGGAGCAGGCCTACCGGCCAAGATACCATACTCACAGCCAGCCCCGCCATCTCTGGGCCTGAGGCCCGGCAGCAACCTTCCGCGCCTTCCAGCCCCCTGGCCCCGCATCTCCCATCCCTGGGCCTGCCATCTGCCTAGCCCCGACTCCTCACCCCCAGGCAGTCACCCACCAATTCCAGCTCATGCTCTGGCTCCTTCTGGGGAGCCAGGGGCTTCTTGGGTTTGGGGGTGATAGGTGTGGGTGAGGTCGGGGAGGCAGCCCCAGGGGCCTGAGCCTGGCGCTGGCGCTGCTGTGTCTGCTGCTCCAGGGACAGGGTCATGGCCTGGGTGGTCATCTGCTGGGCCTGAGGGAAGTGGGGCGGTGGGCCAGGTAAGAGCTGGCCTGGCCCCACCCCATACCTGACCCCACCAGGCAATCCGAGGGCCCTGTGCAGAATCTGTGCCCACTCTCACCAAGATCAGTGCCTGCTGGTTGATGAAGCTCTGCTGCTGGACCGCCAGCTGCCTTGCATCCACACTGGGAAACAGGGGCTGTGGCTGTGGCTGTGGTGGCACCACCATGGCTGTGAGTGTGGCAGACGGACAGGGCAGGTGAGCACCACGGTCAAGCTTGCACGCAGCCCTCTGCCCACTGTGCCCTCTGACCCCTGGCAGGAGCCTCTCTCCTCCAGTCCTTGTCTGAGAAGGGATCGGGTGCCTCTGGCCCAGCCGCACCTGGCATGGCGGGGACTGCGCCCATGGCTGGCATCATGGGCACGGGGGCAGGCATCACGGCCGGCTGGTATCCAGGCATCTGCATCATCCCTGGGTATACTGAGGGAACAAAGCCCTCTCAGGTCGGTCCCTACCTGGGCCCACAGACCACCTCCCTCCAGCCGCAGGCAGAGAAGAGTATGGGCCACCAGGGTGCCCACTGGGGCTCTGACCCCAGCCACCTGGGGGGTCCCAGGCCGTGCCTGCTATGCTGCTAGGCCGGGAGACCCTGAATGGGTGCTGGGCCCTGCACTCACCCATGGGGTAGCTGCCTTGCTGCATGGGCCCAATGGCGCCTCCTCCCTTCATGCGGCTACTCAGAGCCCAGCCTTGTTCTAGATCCTGAAGGGACAAAAGCCATATGTCACAGGGCCACAGCTAGAGCCCTGGGGAAGAGGAAAGGGCAGCAGAGGCCCCAGGGGAGCAGGGACGGGGCAGGATGGGGGATGTGCAGGACACTCACGCTGAGGCTCGGGGAGAGGACTGGCTCGAAGAGGTGGTCCAGGAAGCCGTCCAGGCTCCCTGAGGTGCGGGACTCGCCTTTGGGGCCGGAAGAGGGTTACTATCGCCTTCTTAGGCATGGGGCTTCCTGCACCCCCATTCCCAGCATCCTGTCTATCTCCGTGTGCCCACTTCCTGCCTTACCTGTGAGGCTCCTGCTGGGCAGTGGTGGGGCTGGACCTGGAGGAGGACCTGGGGGCAGCAAGGGGGCCTGGACACCAGGGGCAGGGGGGATGTTCTCGGCTCTGCAGGAGACAGTGGCCCAGCTAAGGGGGTACCTTGGCAGGGCGTGGTGCCCAGGCCGAGGCGAGGTGTAGAAGCTGCTGTGGGGATTGGCCCCATGAGGTTGGAGGAGGCTTACAACAGGACAGGGGTGCTGGGGAGGCACCTACAAGCCATGGGGGGCGATGGGATAGCTGTGGGGACCGACCAGGTCTCCCAGGTCCTCAGTCTGGCCGATCAGGTCCAGCACAAAGTCGCAGCCAGCCAAGTCCTGCCAGGAGTCCCCGGAGTGCAGTGACACCGACCAGCCGCGGGGGGGCACCTCCAGGCCTCTGAGCGTGATGGGGCGAGCCAAAGGGGAGCGGTCAGCCAGGCAGACGACCACCCAAAGGGGCGAGGCCTGAGGAAGCCGTCGGGGAGGGGGCTGCGGAGGGCGACGGGAAGCCGGCGAGGGTGCCGGTTTCACCTGGACGGGTCTCTGGTATCTGCAATTCTCATCCTTCTACTCTGTCGGCTGATGAGCTCACTTTCTATCAGCTATGTAATTAGGGGATAGGAATGATCTCTGCGCTTGCTCACATCTTGAGGGTGCGGTCTGGACCCTGACTACCTCTTCCCGCACCTTGCTGCCACCTGGCCCCTGGGGGAGCAGCCTCTGGCCCTGCCCTGCAGGAGCAGCTGCAGGGGGCGCTTGGCAAGAGGAGGAAGACATAGGAGGACAGGAAAGCGGCCCGCACTGGCCACCCCCCCACCGCCCAGTCCCCCACACCTGCTTTGCAGAATCCACCCGGCAAGTTGCTCCCCTGTGGTCCAGGACTCCACCTCAGCTGAGTAGCACTCCTCTGCAAAGTCAAGGGGTCGGGGGCAAGGGTGAGGGGCAGTAGGGCCCACCCTGAGAAGGGTCTGTCCCCATGGGGTCCCAGAGGCAGGACAGAAGGGAGATCAGCGTTCTCAAGGTTGTACAGCAGGAGGGCTAAGGCAGGAAGTGGGTCCAGAAAGGGCTTGGGGCAGGACTGGTTCCACTATAGGCTTGCGGAGGCCTAGGCAGGAGGCGTGCATCACCACTGAATGTGAAGACATCTAGCGCCATGCGGCCCCGTCGCCGTCCAGCTGTCCACTCGAGCTGGGTGGGTGGGTGGGCCCGTGCGGTCCCGGGAGCCAGCCGTGTCTGCTCCAAGGCCCCCAGTAGCTTGTGCTGGCACAGCGCTGCCATGCCACTGGGGGCCTGGTCAGACACAAATCTGTGGGGACAGCACAGGGCTGGTATAGGGGCAAGAGGCCTGCTGACTCCCCCAGCCAGGCCCCCCACACCTGGCCCCTTACTTGAGTAGAGGCTTCTGCAGGGTGGGCATTGGGGGGAAGGTGCTGAGCAGGATGGCCATGAGGGCCCAGCCACGCTGGCTCTGCTGCTCGTCTGGGTTGTGCCAGAGCTGGGCCGCGAGCTGGCTGAAGAGCTCGTCCCGCAGCCCTGGCCGGCGCTGCCCTTGCCGCACCAGGTATTCGGCCAGGGTCTGCTCCTGCCAGGAGGGCAGGGCCCCATCCCCCAGGAGCCTCAGCATCTGCAGACACACACCAGGACAGTTGGCCTGCCAGTGCCCTTTAATGACACAACTTCAATGGCAGGGCAATGCCACAGGTGTAACTAAGGGGCGGCATCATGTGTCATCATGTATCCAACACCAGACAGAGACATTTAGGTTCAGCAGAGGTTTTCCGAGCCATGCAACCACACCCTCTGTGACAGGGTGGCTGAAGAGAGGGGAACAGACACAGCAGGACTTGCAGGCTTCCCTGTGCCCAGCCAGTACCGGGGGCCAGGGGCCAGCCCTTGCATGGACCACCCTGTCCCCTCCTCCATGTGTCACTCACCACCTTGTTGATATCCAGGGCATGCTGAGGGTTCTCACCATCCAGTCGGGTCAGGGGCTTGGCCAGCAGCTGCCCGGGGCTAGGTAGGGATGGCTCCTGCAGGGAAGGAGGGTTACAGCACTGAGCAGGGGCTGGTCTGTGCTGACCTGCTGGAGGTCCAGGGGAGCATGGGGCCACGCAGTCTCAGAGAGGGAAAGAAGCTGGTGAGGAAAACAATCTTCAAAACACATCTTAACTGCTCCTTATGATTAGAAAATTGGTGTCCATGCATGCAGAAAACGCGGAAAAAGATGGCAAATGAAAACCACCACTAACCTTCTACCACTAGACATACCACATCAGCATTTAGCCTCTTTCTAGTCCCTTTCTGCACTGAGATACATACATAACCACCCACTGTTGTTTTTAATAAAATTGGGAGCCTTCTCTAAATGCAAAACTATCACAAAACTAAGGCATTTTGCATCCTGCTTTTGTGTCCAACACTGCAGCCTGGACAGTTGGCCTTGTCATTACACTTTAATGACACAACTTCAATGGCAGGGCAATGCCACAGGTGTAATTAAGGCATTTTGCATCCTGCTTTTGTGTCCAACACTGCAGCCTGGACAGTTGGCCTTGTCATTACACTTTAATGACACAACTTCAATGGCAGGGCAATGCCACAGGTGTAACTAAGGTGCGGCATCATGTGTCATCATGTATCCAACACCAGACAGAGACATTTAGGTTCAGCAGAGGTTTTCCGAGCAATGCAGCCACACCCTCTGTGACAGGGTGGCAGAAGAGAGAGGAACAGACACAGCTTCTGTCTGGCAGGGGCTAACATCTGGGGCACTGTAGGGTTCAAGCAGGAAGAGCCGAAGCCCACCTGAAAGCTGATGGAGACGAAGCTGGAGAAGGGGAACTGGTCAGTGTCCGGCGGGAGAGTCAGGTTGGGCCGGACAGGCACTTGCGGGGGCATGGACTCCGTGATGTTCTGGACCAGGGTGTGCTGACGGCCTGCGGACAGTGCCGAGTGGCAGCCGGGAGACACCCAGGTAAGGCACTGGCTCTGGTGGCACCTCCACCCCTTATCATCATCTCCACCCTCCATGCAGAGGGACCTGGGCAGTGAGCTCGGGGGGCTCAGAGCACCAGAGGGGAGGGATGACAGGGACAGACCCACTGCACAGTAAAAAGACTGGGAAAGGGGCCACGGCAAGAGGGACACCTGTCAAGACTCACCCTCTGCTGTCTTCAGCATGAGGGCCAGCTCAGCCGGGACCTCCAAACGCCCCAGCTCCTGGCAGAGAGTGATTGACAGGTACTAAGGGAGGGGCACAGAGATGGGGTCCCTCCTCACCCCAGACTGTAAACTTCCCCTCCAGAGACCAAGGATTCTGATTCTGGGCACCCAAACGAACAGGGCCCAGGAGCCCTCAGAGGGAAGCCAAGGGCACCCCAGGCCTCTCCCCAGGGACACAGTGGATGCCCTGGAGACAGAACCCATGGCAGTATCCTGAGAGCCCATGCTGCCCCTCAAACCATGCAGGTTTGGCAGGTCCCAACCCAGAGGACACCCTCCAGCTTGCTGGCCACCTACCATGCTCGGCACTTCCTCGGAGGCCCCACTGCTGTGCCAGCCACGCCAATGCCCAATCTGTTGGGAGAAACACAGAAAGAGCTGATGCCTGGTGAGGGGTCACCAGGAGCCCCCTCGTGGCTCCTCCCGGGCTCAGCAGTTCAGCTGCCCGCTCCCGCGCCCGGGGCCCAGCAGCAGCCGAGGAACAAGCACAGACCCGAAGGGGCAAGTTGCCTGCCCTCAGCCCTCCAGAGCCCGCACCAGCCTTAGCGCTCTGGGCGTCTGCCCGTCTGCCAGGGTACCAGGAAGAGGGCAGGAAGAAGGGAAGGAATGATCCTAAGGGACAAAGTCCAGCCAGGGAGGAGCCAACGAGGGGAGCAGTATGTGGGCACCGACCTTTGAGCTGCTTTATGGCCCTCCAATGGGAGTCATCAGGGAGGAGAAAAGAGACGGTGGACCCCAAGGGAGGGCTGGAGGGGATGAGAAGGCACCCCAGGCAGACAGGAGGGGAGGCCCTGGGAATGGGCAGGGATAAAGGAAGGCAATGACCTCCTGGAGGCCCCAACCTGCCCTGGTCAGGCAGAGAGAAGTGGGAAGAGCCCAACCAGCAACGATCTCCCGGGGCCTTGGTCCTTGTGCAGTTGGGCTCGGAGGGTGGACACTGTCAGGACTTGGCAACTTGGCCACTAAGGCTGCCTGGCTTCTACCCGGAGCTGCCCATGCAGCAGCCCCACCCAAACGCTTCACCTGCCGTCTCTGCCGCCTCCAGAGCACGGGCCGGGTGGCCAGCAGAATGGTGCTCAGCTGTCCCAGAGCTGCCCTCCGCCGGAGGTACCGCTTCCTGGAAGCGGGAAAGGGGGTGACGAGGAGTCCAAACAAGTCCTCCAAGCCAAGCCATGAATGTAAAAACTGCACTAATGCAGCCCTCCAGTACTTAAAAGAAGCACTGGGGAAAGGACAGGACACTTTGAAAGAACATGCAAATCAATAATCTGTTTAGCAGAGGGGTCGGGCACATTATTGGAATAGGGTCGGGCATATTATTAGAAGCAGCACTTCCACAAATGAAAAACGGCATCACTGTAAATTTAATGAGAGATTGTGGTGGAGATAACATCTTTGAGAATTTTCCATATGTCAGAAAGACGAGACTTCTCAGTGAGGGAGTCCTGAGCAGTAGCCATTTAAAATAAATGTAGAGCTTTTATGCATCAAAGGACACTATCAAAAGAGTGGAAATACAACCCAGAGAATGGGAGACCATTTGCAAATAACACATTTGGTAAGGGTTTAATATTCAGGATACATAAAGAACTCCTACAACTCAACCATGACTACAAAAAGTTTGTAATTAAAAAGCAAGCAGATGACTAGAATGGGTATTTCTCCAAAAGAAATACTTCCCCCAAAAAGATACGTAAGTGGTGAACAAGTACATAAAAGATGCTCTATTCAACATCATCAGTCATTAGAGAAATGCAAATCAAAACCACAATGAGATGCCACTTCACCCCCACTAGGATTACTATAATTCAAAAAGTGGAAAATGACAAGTATTGGCAAGGATGTAGAGAAACTGGAGCCTTCATACATGCTGGGACTGTAAAACGGTGTGGCTGCTCTGGGAAACCGTCTGAGGCTACTCCTCAAAAAGACAAACCTTGATTTACCATATGAACAGCGATTCCACTCTTAGATATAAAAGACCCAAATGAATTGAAAGCAGAGACTGGAACAGCTACTTGTACATTTATGTCCCTAGCGGCCTGCTTCACAAAATCCAAAAGGTGGAAACAATCCAAATGTGCATTGACAGATGAGTGGATAAACGAAATGTGATGTATCCATACAATGGAACATCATTCAGGCATAAAAAAATGAAGTTGCGACACACATTACAATAGGGTCGAGCCTTGAAAACACTACGCTTAGGGCAATAAGTCAGACTTAAGAGGAAATGGTTTTTGAGTCCACTTATGAAATATGTGGAGCAGGCAGGTTCATAGAGACAGCAAGTAGACTGGAGAGAGCCGGGGGTGGGAGGGAGGGGAGGGTGGGCAACTGTAACGGGCATGGAGATCCTGGTGGTGGGGAAAGCATTCTGGAGGCAGGTGGTGGCGAAGGGGGCCCCCTCTCTGGAGGCTTCTCTGTTGTCTATAGCTGTCACTTTGCTCTCGGCACTTTAATCATCACCTTTGGGGTGCTTGGCAGCTGGTTACAGTCTACACCCAACTTCCCAGCTAGCCTGGGAGCCCCATGTCTGGCCTAGGGGAGATGGAGAAGCCCAACCAACAGCTGGTGGGTGAATGAGCAGACATGCTGTGAAGTGAGGAGGGGAGGGACCAGTAGTACCCAGACCCCAGACTGTAAAAGTCTGGCCCGAAAAGAGGCTGGAGAGAGAGCCAGGGCCTCGTCAACCTGATGCATGCTTTTAAAAAGTCGCTCTTGATGCAGAGTGGAGAACAGACTAGGAAAGAAAACACTCAAAGAAAGAGGCAAGCCCACAGGTTTGGGCAGCCTTGGCAGGTAACGAGCATCTTGGGATTGGGGGTCTCCAGGCAGACTGCGCAGGTAAAGGCAAGACGTGGTCAAGAAGAGTCCAGTGCTGATGGATGGCACTGGGGCAGGCAGACCTGCCCCTCCACCTCGAGGAGGCCCACATTCTCACCCGACCCCTGCAGACCTGGCCTGGAGTCCACGCACTCGAGCCTGCATGCGGGGCAGGAGGCGGAGGCGCTGGTGGGAGATGCAGGCGCGGAGGCTGCGGTGCAGGGTGAGCAGGGCCTGGGAGCGCTGCTGCGCCCAGTGCCGCTCCAGCCACTGCCAGCCCAGCTCCTGCAGCAGGACCTGGGGGCAGAGGCGTGGGCCAGAGGCAGGCCAGGCATGGGTGCCAGGGGGCAGAGGCCTACCCTGCTCTTCTCCTGGGGCCTCGGCATCCTCTCTTCGAGCCAGACAATCTATTCTTTTGGGGTTCCCAGGGCACCTGCCACCCCAGCCCTGCTCCATTTCTGCACCACCCAGAAGGACCACGGAATCCTAAGCTTGTTCTAGAATGCTCCTCTCCCTTTCCAGCCATGCCTGCCTCTCTCCACACACCCACCTGGGTGGCTCCAAGGTGACAGAGGGGCGACTCAGCCCCCAGCACCTGGTTCAGGATGGCACCACACCTCTCCCGGTCCGAGAGCTTTCCCTGTCCCTGTGTCCCCAAGGCCCGGAACCTGCCCCCAGGACAGAGAGCCAAGGTAGGGATAAGCACAGTAAGGCTCTCCGTCCAAACGGGTTTGAGCCCCTCAGTGTCTATGCCGTCCCTAAGTCATTCAACAAAGATTTGGAAAGCACCTACTATATGCCAGGCACCCAAAGAAGTTTGCTGAATAGAGGAGGGGTGCATGAATACAGAAGGTCTTCAGGGGTGGAGGTTTAGGGGTAGTGAAAGGAAAGGGGAGGAGGGAGAGAAGGGGGAGAAGAGGCAAAGGAGGGAGGGGTGCGTGCAGGCCCTGGGCCCCTGGGAAAGTGGGTCCATCTCCACCCTGAAGGAACCCCAAGTCTGCCATCCACTCCAGGGGGCCTGCCTTGGGAGTCCTGGCCCTGAGGTGCCCATTCCCTCAGCCGACCCCTCCTGGGGCTCTACCTGGCCAGGAAGGTCTGGAAGGCCAGGCGCACAGGGAAGTTGGCACTGCGGGTACACACGGCCTCCAGGGTGCCCGCTTGGTGCAACTGCTCTGCCACATGTCCCACATCAAAGAGGTTGGGAAGCTGTGGCCATGGGGCAGAGCCAAGGGACCGGAGTTGAGGGGCTTACCGCTGCGGGGAGTGCAAGGCCCAGCAGAGGAGGGCAGGGGGCTGGGAAGGGCAGGACAGGTGGGAGGGCTCTGGGGCCAGGTGCGGGGAGAGCTCACCTTTCCAGGGTTGGGGCTGAGACACTGGACGACGTGGACATGACTCCTGCTGGGTGGGAGCGGGCGTCACCTGGCCACAGACCGGCTCCCCAACTCAACTCCCCAGGGTCGAATATGGGGGCACTCTTCTCACCTGCCCAGCTGAGCTATGAGGTCCTCTAGGGACCGCTGGAAACGAGAGGCCAGGGTGGGTTTGCTGAGCTCACTCGCGGCCTGGGGCTCTGCTTCCTGGAATAGGCTGCCTACCAGCTGTGGGGTGAGAAGGGCTGAGCTGGCTGGCCTCCCGGCCCTGTTCACAGCCCAGCCTGCCCCCCAACCCAGCAACCGGGGTGGGCCAGCCTGGCAAGCTCAGCCCACGGTCTGAGGTGCCAGGGGCTTAAGGGTGAGCCCCTTGGGCAACAGCGTCCAGGTGAGGACAGAATGGGGGCAAGTGTGGAGGAGGAGGCCCAAGAGGGCTGACAGCGGCACCTGGAGCTGGCTCTGGGCAAGCATTTTCACAGCGGCGGGGTCCAGATGGTCCCTATTTCTGTCTAAAAACTTGTGAACCTGCAAGAGACAATGTGGGGAGGGGAGGGGAGGCCAAGGAGAGAGGTCTGGGTGGGGAGGCCCAGCCCTTTGTCCATCCAGCCGCTTCCCACGGACTTAGGAGGCCACCGTTGTTTCTTCAACTAAGGGTGCTGGGAAAACTGGAAATCCACATGCAAAAGAATGAAGTTGGACTCTTATCTCACACCTTACACAAAAATTAACTCAAAACGAATGGATCAAAGGCATAAATGTAAGACCTAAAACTATAAAAAGTTTGGAAGAAAACATAGGGAAAAAGTTTTATGACATTGGACTTGGCATGATTTCCTGACTACGACAACCAGAAGCACAGACAACAAACGAAACAGAGATAAACTGGATTTCATAAAAATGAAATACTTGTGTGCAGCAAACGACACTCTTAAGAGAGTAAAAAGCCACCCACAGACTGCAAGAGAATATCACATATCAGATACGGGATTAATATCCAGGTTATGTAAAGAACTCCTACAACGTATCAAGAAAAAACAAGCCAATTCAAAAGTGGGCAAGGGACTCGAAGAGGCATTTTTCCAAAGATACACAAATGGCCAAGAAGCACATAGAAGATGTGCAACGTCACTAGACGTTAGCGAAATTCAGATCAAATCCACAGTGAGATATCACTTCACACCCACTAGGATGACTATAATTTAAAAAATGGACAATGACAAGTATTGGTAAGGATGTGGAGAAACTGGAGCTCTGATACACTGCTGGTGGGAATATAAAAGGGTGCAGCCACTGAGGAAAACAGTTTGATGGATTCTCAAAAAGGTAAACAGAATTACCATAGGACCCAGCAGTTCCACCCCTAGGTAGATATCCAAAAGAATTTAAGGCAGAAACCCGAAGAGATACTTGTGCACCCACATGTACAGCAGCATTATTCACAAAAGCCATGGAAACAATTCACGTGTCCACCAACTAATGAATGATAAACAAAATGTGGTCTATCCACACAATGGAAGATTCTTCAGTCATAAAATTCTGACACTTGCTGCAATATTGATGAACCTTGGAAACGTTATGCTTAGTGCAGTGTCACACACCAAAGGATTGTGTGTGTGTGTGTGTGTAAGACTCCACTTATATGAGCACCGAGAATAGGCAAATTTCTAGAGACAGAAAGTAGATTAGATTACCAAGGGCTGGGGAGTTAGTGTTTAATGGGGACAATTTCTGTTTGGGATGATGAAAAAGTTCTGGAATCGCGATGGTTACACAACTGTATATGTACTTAAAGCCCCTGAATTGTATGCTATAGATGGCTAAAATGGCACATTTTATGTTATGTATATTTTACCAGTTTTTAAAAGCCTGCCTCAGTCTCATACCTAGTTCCTTTACATGCTTTTGAGTCTGTCATAGGGCTCTTAATTCTGTCCACAGAGGGGCTTGTTCCTTACCAACACCATACTCTTTTAATTACTAGAGCTTTAAAATATATTTTAAAATCTGGCAGGCAAATTTCTCCATATTCCTTTGCTTTTAAGTATTTTATTGGCTATTCTTACACATTTCTTTTCTTGATAATCCTTC